GGTCAGCAACACACGCAAAGTCATGAACATTCCCAGGAATAGGATACATGTAGACTGCCTTGTGGCACACTTTCTCCCTTCATCTCCCCACAACAAACCTTCCCAATTTCAATCTGTATATTAAAACATGGGCTTCAGAAGTATAATGAAAACACTGAACATATGGGAAAAATGTTGTGATGAAACAGCAAAGAGATAAGACTCCTTACAGAAGTTAAAAAACAAGGGGGCAAATGCTAAGCTATAAAAATAATAAAATTCTATCATATGCTTGTGTTTTCTTAATACAGGATTACAAAAACTAAGGATAGAAGAGAAGATGTGACTAATATTGAAAGCTTATTTAAAAGGATCCTCTTTTTACAGAGTAAAAAATTTTACAAGCATCCTTAAGAGGGCATGGATATACTTACAGAAATGCAAAACTAATTATTTGAAAAACAATGGTAATTGATCAAAATCTGCCTGAGAACAATGGGTAGAAGACCACCATTGCCCACAATATGCTGCTATCATAAGTGGTTGCACTATGTCTCTTTCACAACAAGTTAATGTTTCTTCTGACGCAGCCATTCCTGAAGTAAGCACTTAGACCAGAGCTTATATGAATGACAAATGTACATAGTTAAAGAATAATTTCTGCTAGCAAAGCTCTGAAAAAAAATCATGAAGTGCATGCTAATAACTATTTGGAATAACTACTATTTATTTCTCAATTGCAGGATTTTGAAAATTCTTAAAACACCTCATGCTAACCTTTCTTGCAAACTGCATATGAGACTACAGCCGTTATATAACCCATTACTGCAGCCTTTGTGTGCCCAGTACTTCTAAGCAGAGATGCTTCAAACAGGAAAATAATATACTTCAGAGTCAGTTTCAAGACATGTTATAGTGGTATTAGAAATAGCTGAAGTGGACAAAGCCACCTAAATTATAAGAAAGTCTTCCCCTCTAAGGACTATGTCAACAACTTAGAAATAAAATACCATTTAAGGTGTTCTCCTAGTCTGAAAATACCTTTAATTAAATATTGAGGAAGTTTATGTTTGCTATTTCTCAAGGAATTCTCTAAGTCTGTACTCAATTTAAAATTAAATGTATTTATCATCTGATTTGACAGGTCTGCAGCTTGACCTTGACTTTTGACAAAAGCTATTATTTCTTCTTCATACATCACAATTCCAAAGAAGCTCTTAAAGTGTAGATTGGTCAAAAGTTCTTTAGAAGATATGAGAAAGAAAACAAGATGATGTACTCCTCCCTTCCTAAACAGTTTCTCTGGAAGGCCTGGTAGTAGGGAACAATAAAACATACCATTGACAGCAACAACTATAGTGAAAAAACACTGAACATATTGAATAAAACCTTAGTGAGTAAAGCAGTATCACTTCAATTATACCTTGATTCTATATGCAGAATAACTGATAGCAAGTCCAAATTGTTGCAACAAATATTTTTATAAGCACTTCCCCACTACAACAAGAGTTTTCTCCCCAATTTGGTACATTCATTCTCGGTGACATTTTCCTAGTCATTCCTGACCTTTTCCCCAAACTATCCTATTGGGGGCAGGGAAACCATTTTCTCTCCTTAAATATTACTCAACTCAGACCATACAGCCACATATTTTTTTCCTCATCCAACTTCTTCTCTCACCACAGTTCATATAGACCTGTCAGTTCTTCCTTGCACTAACACTGTTCTGAACCATAACAGGTTTCTTGCTACCAAAGAAATATTTCCTTCTCACTAATTTTACCCACAAAAGCAAGTGTCATTTTTGCCAGTTAATTATCCTATGCAGCATACTCAGGGGTTTCCACATTTAGGAGATATATCTTTACCATTTAAAATCCTAATTCGAAAAAAACACATGGTTTAGCTTTTTTTTTTTCCTCATCAGCTGTGTGACAGGAGGAACAGATCACTCTCCTCTTCAGCTTTTCTCTATTACTATAGCTCTCCTCTCACCATTTTTGCTCAAAATATTAACTATTGTAGCAGATTTTAATCCTCTCTGTCCTTAGGTCAATCATGAGTTTTGATTTCAATACCTCTTTTTTCACTTTATAACACCCCTTTTGGGGAAAACACCCATTTTCAGTGTTTTCCAATAACTGCTTCACACTGAAAGCTTGCAGTTTTGTCTTGCCTCCTGTTTTTGATTCGCACTGCATTTTCACATATTTTTCAAAACTGCAAATTATTAATCTGAAACTCAATCAACGCCAACTGCAGTTTCCTCAAGCACTTAATTTTGCCGTCACTTGCCTGCATACCATGAGAATCCTCACAGAAACCTCCGGTGAGATCAGTTACCTGGTTCACTCAAATCTGAAGATGAACCACATGTACCAAGACAGAAGAATGCACACAGATTTACTACATTTTGCATTCAGCTGGAAGAAGGTTATTCATGAATTACAAGAGAATTTTGTTTTTCCTGGAACAAACTATAATACGCATGCATGCGTTTATATGAGGGGGAAATGTACTGTATGTAAACATGATGATAAAAACAAATGAGCCACAGGACAAAGCATTAGACTGTGTAGTTTTTATTCAAGAATATTTTGGTTTTGTAGGTTTTCCTATAACTGTAAAACCATTATTGTATTTATACTTTCTTTGTAACACTCAGCAGCTATGAATTTGGAAGTTAAAAAGTTTTCTAAAAGCTGTATCCAATTACAGTGGTGAATGATTTGAATAATAGACTGCTCGGCATATTCCAAGATAAGTGGCTGCTACATTTCTTTGATATTAGGGTCATATACTGTACTTATCTATTTTTACTCCACGCTTTCCATTGCCTAGTAATAAATTAATTTCTCACTGTTAGTTTGGCATGTGCCCTACAGTTATATTCACTTTCTCTCCCACTGAAGGAAGAAGTTTTCTAAAGTATCTTTAGAATTAGGCATCATAGATTAAATTCAAAATACTATTTGAAGATGCACATTCCCACATAAAGTCTTAACAGCCAGTTTTATATTTTCATTTTTAGAAAATTATCTGGCAGTGCTGAACATCATGGGATTGTAGTTATCTAACTACTTGCACACACTTAAGACTTTTTAAACATATGGATATAATTTGAAAGAATGAGTTTTAACTTTAGTATTTAATTTCCATTGCTCCCTGGTGCAGAAAACTCAGCTAAGGACCTCATGTACATCTGCAACTATCAAAGGCAGTCAGAGCTGAGTTTAGATCTGAAAACTGAATACAGACCAAAATGTAATCACCATCCAGGCAGAAACAATTAAATCTTACATGAGCTGGGTTCTTTACAGAGCAGAGAGAATGAGGAAATGTTCCAGTTTCTTTGCTAGTTACCAGACCTCAGTAACACTGAGGAAGCAGTTTGCACAGTCATCATACAGAACAACTTCTACTCTTCAGCCTACACCTTCTAGCTCTGTTTATCTAACAGCTCTATTTCTTTGTAGGTGTCTTCAGAAGAATAAGGAGAAGCAGTTTAGCAAATGAACAGTGGCAATCATGAGGAAAGCAAGCATGAATATGGGAGTGGAATATATGTTCATGTACTATAAACAATGAAAGAAATAAAGACACTGGCAAGCAGGGACACCTAAGCCTCTGGCATTACAGATTGCTATCTCTAATTTATTCTCAAAGGTGATAATTTTGAAGTAAAGAAAAGACACCAGAGCCATTCTTAAGCTAACCCAAAGCCAAGTAAACATATGACAGTTTGTGTTTTAAGCTGTCAAAGCCATAAAGGATGGCAAAGAAGCAACTGCAGAGTGCAAAGAGTAACACCACAGCTGTTGCTAAACACAGACTTGTCACCTAAGAGTGTATACTGCTCTACAAAATAACATGGAAGAGAATTACTGGCATCTTCAATGACTACATATCAGTTGTAGCGACTGCATGTCCCTGGATTGTTACTGGCCTGCTTGAAATTTATGTTACAAGCCAATTATCTTAGATAAAGCTAATATCCAACAAATTATCTGAAAGTCTCCCATTTCAATACCAAATCTTGAAGCCTGTAAAGATAAAACTGAATCATAAGCAAAGTTGAATTCAATCCAATCACTCATGTAACTCCTTTACTTAACAAATATTTGATGTTGCAAACTACTGTTTCTTGTATCAGCACCAAGTAGGTTATCAGTGACTATTTCAGCATAGGTTCTAGACACCAACCTCATTAGAAACAAGGCTAGGCTAAAAATAATGCCTGTTTCTCTGGTATTTTGTCCGGTCACATCCATCCATTTTCACAGGGATATGCACCCTGTTATACCACTGCAATTTCTATTTAAATTGCAAATAAAAATTGGACACACACAAAATACTACAGAAAACCCAATTGAAAGAGAACAAACTACTATTCCTTCCCACAATAAAGAACACACTCTACCTCCATGAGTTTGCTAACTCTAATTACACCTATAGTTTTGAGATTTCCTAATGGCAAGTACTACAAAGCACTAACAGAATGAATCATGACACATACTGATACACCACTGATTGTAAATCTATACCCTTTTTTATTTGCACCCATGGACTATGTTTCATATATTTATGAAAAATTACTTCCCATTAGCAAAATGTCATGATTGGAAGCATGTATGATACACAAACAGACTAACAGCAAGTATGTGATGCTCTTGTAGCTTATTTTTGATAGTGTAGCAGATTAATTATTAGAAAGACCTCTGTTGTTTGGATACTTAATTTCTGAATTAAAGTTTCCCTGAGGCAAAGAAAAAGATAATTTGAAAGATAAGGTTAAAAATTCTTGAAGGCATCTTTCTCAGACATGCAATATTCATACTTTTATCAACATTTCAGAATGCAATTACAAATCAAAAAATGCTGCCAGACTTGCATGTAAACCATAATTTCATATAAAACTTCTACAGGTGAAAGTACTGTAAAAAAACCACTTTAATGATGTCCTCAAAACATGTGAAATTCTTAAACTTAATGCACCTTTCCACTTTTTAAAGGCTACTTACATCAATGACTGATGAACTTGACAGACTTAATCCCTCTAGGTCTGCTGCTAAACTTGGGGACAAAACAGCTGCCGTAGGAACTGCCACAGGAGTTGTTACAGAACAAACTAGAAGAAAAAAGGTAAGAGATACTTAAATGGAAAAACAATTTAAGATACTGTGAAAAAACAGTGATTTCTTTTTTCTTTGCACAAAGAAGTTTTATGTTCTCATCTAAATGTTATATTCTTCTACTTATATTTCATGAATATTCATTGATGAATACATTGGTATTCACATTGATGAATATTTGAAGAATATGTTATATGCTTGTTTCTAAATACAAGATTACTTTTTCAGACATATGGCCCCAATACTCAGAATAAGCAATGAAAATATGTATACAACTTATACATGAACAGACCGTGTGATTTACTTTAGAAGTATTTTCTCCTCCTGTCCTATTTTTCCTTTATTTTATCCTTCAGTCTGATAGATACTGTGTAGCACATTTTCATTTACAGGCTACATGCAAAGTACATGTTAATGCAATTCTGATAGGCTGCAACTACAGAAGTAAACTTTAAGAAGGGTACTACAAGCACAGACAAAAAACCAGAGCAAGCTTTATCTCACCCTTCCAAGACTACCATTTCACAGTTCTTCAGAAATGTGATTCTTAGCATCTTAAGATAATACCATAACTGGCCCATAGACTGCACAGGGGTTGTAGAAGTAACATCCACTATTACCCGAGAAAATAAGTCCACTTTAACAGAAAACAAGTCCAGACACATACAAATGCTCAAAGTAAATGTTTTACATGGTGGGAGATTCTAAATTTTGAAACAATTCCTCAATTATAAAACAAAATATTGTAATAACTGTGCTTAAAAATAATTTGACAGTCTAAGCATTTATTTTGTCAGGAAACTAGTACAATAAATTAACAGAATCAATGTTTCAGAAATTTAACTTCATTGAATTAACTGACCTGATTTTATGCCTTGGGAAAAATGAGGCTTTAATCAAGATACTTACAATCATCTAAATCTAAGAGAAACATGTCTTGGTTTTTTGGAGTCTTTCTTTCTTGCACTGGTTTTTCTTCTTTCTGTCAAAATAGATTAATATTTCATCTTCCACCATATCAGCAAAAGAAAAGCATTTAGTACATTCATCAAGCAAGTGCATTTATTTTACTACTTCATAAAACAGAATGTATCCATGTTCAGGGTGTGGCATCCAAAGAATTCACCTACTGAGAAAGATTTGTTTATATAGTTAAACTGTATCTAAATGCCACAACTGAATTTCGGTAGCCCCTGCATTCATCTAATATTAATCATTGTTGCTACACAGAAAACATTTGGTGACAGATCAGACAATTCTGTTGAGCTAATTAAAAAATAAAGCTGCTATCTCTTTAAGACAAAAGATTTGTGTACTAACATTTCTGTTTTCATATGAAAAACAGGTCAAAATCGATTCAATAAGAAATATAGTGTAATTTGCACTTATCCAGGAGCACAGAATTCTGTCCAATTATCTACTGGGACTTACTTAACAGGAAGCTGAGTTTTGTCACCAAAAAAATTCAGTTTTAACCTTAAGATGAGTTCTAATTGGCCGTACCTGAAGTAAAGACTAGGGAAGTAATAATCCCAGTACCATTACAGAGTATTTCAACAAAATTTGCTTCAATAACTAAAAAAGTTCTAAACAAATCTTCATAAGAGCAAGTGTTGGCTACACCTACAGAGCACGTCTAGACAGTGGTGATTCAGGAAAGAATTCATTGTGTTACAGCTCAGTACACTCTGCCAAGAGGGTGGTTTAGTATAAAGAATTGATTTTAGGATGTAGCCAGAAACTTCTGTAGCAAGGAGTTTTGTCATCATGTTGTTCCTGCCCACCCTAATGCATCTTTCATTTGGTTCAGCTGAAGAATTTCTTCTCCCTTCATTCTCTTTGGCTCACATACCAAACAGAAGGCTTTGCAATTTTTTTTATAAAACATATTAACTGCCTTTAGACCTTAAGACATTGCTCACTACCCAAGTTATTTCAAGTAATTTAAATGTAGTCTTTCCAGGAGTCACACTTTCTAGTTTACCTGCTTCCTCTTAAACAGTATGTGACAGCCAAATTCATAAGGAAATATTTTACCACTTCTAATAAATTAACAAGTCTAAATGAATCAGTAAATCTCTTTATGCCCATCTAGACCATAATTTCTTAAGCATTTCAGACACCCAGACACAAAAATTTCTAGAAGAGCCAGGAGTGAACTCAGCAGCTAGAACCACTTCCTTTAACCAGCACCATAGAATAAAATAACACCTCTTTTCTCAAGGCACATTCCCTTTCTTCTGGTCTCTCAGCTTGATAGTCAGTTGCAAACAAATGATAATAATGAGTTTACCTTTTTTCAATTTTGCAAGGAATTCTATGGTTCCCTGCAAAGAAGATGAAAGAAGCTAGCCAACATTGTCACTATTTGAAGCCATTGATGTTAACGACTACCAGGTTTGACCTCAGCCATGATGAAATCACTTATCATGATCTTCCTATAATTACCATGGCTCAGACAGTAGTCACTTACATGATCCCTATGCTTGAGGTATTCTGGGAGAAGAATCATCTTGTGGAATGAAAAGAACAGGAGCCACTATTTTAAAAGTTATTTTTACATCATGATACTTTAATGATCCTCATCCTTATGGTATTTGAGTGTTCTACTACTGGTTATTTATCTGAGACCTAAAACTCCTCTGAACAAAGAAAATACTACAAAAAAGCTTTAAAATTGCATTGAAGTGACACAACTTCCGATATGTTTTGTCCAGAATTTCTGAGGGACTCCTGCAGAACCAAGTTTCTTGAATTCCATTCTGCTCACAACTACCGGACCCTTCTTTGGAGATGTGCTTATTAGCAAGTCACTAAGTTTGTTTTGGTTACTTTTGTTTTAGAACTGTGAAATAAGGACAAATAGTACACTTCATAAGCTACAAGTTCTACTTGAATTACTCATGTCAGAGACACAATTTTGTAACAATATTTCTCATGAACTCCAAGCCACTTTATAGTATCATTTGGTGAATATTTAGCCCTGAATCTCAAGTTTAGCTGTTATTTCCAGCACCTTTACCGTAAATTATGTATCACAACCCTTTTCCTGAACTAGAAAACTCTTCAGAAATCAAAACAGACTAAAGGAGAACTCAGTTAAACAAAAGGCAGATATATTAAAAATATCCTCAATTTCTGAACTTTCACCATCTGTCCCCACTTATCCTTAAGATACAATTCTACTTTCAACTATGATTAAAGTTGAAAGTTATGGTTTTATATTTGCTAAATGTTTCCATAGAGATAGGTTGTGTCCATCTCCTTTACTATGCAGCCAATTAAAAGTCTCTAAAAAGTGGCTCAAGAGTCCTACAAGGAGAATTCTATATGCTTCAGTACATGTTTCTAAAAAATTAGGAGTCACTGCCAAAGAATCCTCACTGTTCAGTGGATCTGTTTACTAAAGACAACTAAGATGGGCAGTCTAAGTAACAAATAATACCAATAGCATGCTTCACTTTGCTTTTTCTGTCACAAGTACAAAAAGTACACGAGGCTTGATGCATACTTTTATAAGGTGAAATTCATCCTTGCACTGATAAAACTTTGATTCTACTACATTAAAAATGTTTAAAAATGGGGAAAAAAATCCTTCAAAAGAATTTACTTCTTATAGTTCAAACCAAAATAAAATGGTCCTAAAAGAAGGCACAAATAAAAAAATAATTCCTGAACGAATGTATGGCAAGGAAAAATTTCACTGCACATTTTACCAGAAGATGGCATTTAAGTGTATCAGTTTACTATAAAGAACAAGCAAGTAAACAATTCCACCAAACAAAAAGCAAAAAATGCACAAACCTGACTACCATCTGGGAAATGTAAAATCAAGGGCTAATTAAATCCAGATAGAGGTAATGTCTAAGTGTCATCATGTCTTATTTCCAACTTCAAATGAGTGTTTGAAGCTTAAGAAAACACTGGGCTACTCATATGTGTGTTTGGGTGCTATATATACAAAAACCACACCAATATTTTCATGCTTGTATGTGTTTCTACATACAGGTTTGCAGGTATGCACATTAATTGCGTGCAATTCTGTAGAAAACACCAAAGAAATCTATTTATGTGGGTCCTGCCTATAACAAACATGATTATTTGCAATTTATTTTGTCCAAGAAAAGAAAATTGATTGGCTGTCTATGACCAATAAATAGCCAATGACTGCATCTATATCAATTGAGGAAAAAAAGCTTTGCATCTGAAATCTAGACAATAAAAAGGTTCTGACGTGTCTGACATTTCTCTGTAACACAATTTTTCCTTTTTTTTTCTCTTAAAACTAAGCCTACAATATACCCCAAACAGTATTCTACCAAGAAAGCCCACTATGAGAAAAGAAGAATACTAAACAAAGAAGTTAAGGTATATTCCATCAAACATTTCTCCATTTGCAATTCATCTTGATAATAGAGATAGAACCTGGTAAATGCATATAGGACTTGAAGCAGGAGATTTCTCTTGCTCAATGCATAATTCATGTGCTCCGCCTGCAAAGTGTGTAAAATGAGAATTTCACACCGCAGCATGAGCCATGGAGCTGCAGAGAAAAGGCAGATGAAATCATATTCTGCTGTGCGAATTTTATTTCTTATCCTTCCAATATTTATACAAAACCATCACTGACAATCCAAATGCATTGACAGATCACCCACTGTTTCCATTGTGTTAGCACTTGAAAGGAGATCAGGCAGAAAGATAGACAATTTGTTTTTGTATATTTTTTAAATAGTGGATCAGGTTTTTAACAGCTGAGTGACTGTATTATACTTGTAGAAGGAGGTCAACAGTAGCTGATTTTAAAATCCCACTGTAGAGACACCTACTTATACATGCATCATCCTCAAATCTGCATTTTAGCTCTACAGTGTTTATGCTTACAGTATAGTATGTATCTGAACACCTCAAATTATCGATATTTCAAAATGATATAAAAGACTGCAGTACAAGAGACTGACTTTTCGATTCACTGCAGCTCAATTACAGTGAAGACAACAGGTTTTTCAAAATGATTTGTCAGGAGAAAAAAATACTAAACCATTAATAACATACTCAGGAAAATAATCTGAATTTTTGGTAGTGTATTTTAATGCCAGTAAGTGCATGGATGTATGTAGCAATTAAGCTCCAATGTGAATGTAACAAAACCTTTTTTATTAAGAAAATTTTGCAGAACATGGAAATGGCACCCAACACAATATATAAGGAATGGTAAGCATCACCCAAAACATCTGCAATGTAATGTAGTTCATAACATGTAGCAAACTGAGAAATCATAAAAATAGAGCTCACTAACCACAACTTTTTTCATTTCAGAAAATCTTTTCAATTTTACTGAAAAGGAAATCCTAATGAATAATATCCCCATATAGACTGCCCAAATTAAGAACACACTATAACAGAATAACATAAGCAATGCCTTCTCTAATGACAAACAATCAGAATAAAGCACGCATTTCTGAGAGTCTGGCAGAAACCATCTGTTTCCTGGGTGGTCTGAAAATAAGTCAGGAAGAGAGCAGAAAAAAATATATGTGGTTCTTTTAAGATGTACCTTGACACATAAGGGGTCTATATATAAGACTTTAACTATAATCTTCTTTAAAGTTTGTTAAAAATTGTTTTTTTTTTTCTAGCTTGGAATGTGTTACCATCAGTTACCTTCATCTATCATTACAGTGCTCAAAAAAGTTTTCTGACAAAAAATCTTATTAAGCTAGTTAGCATAGCAATCACTTCTAATAAAAAATACCTGTGTTTCTTTTCCCCCACCACCTTATCTAACTATATGTCTAAAAATAAACAAGTACTAGAAACACTTGAATGCAGACATCGAGGTTTAAGTGGAAAGTAACTTTAAGGTCCAGGGATTAATACCATATACTGAAACAGTTCTTCTTGTTCAAGGACATTAAATTAACTGCTCCCTACACCTTAACATATGACTATTGATGTTTACAGCTCATCAGCCAAGTTTGTTGCCCTTATATTAAATGTGCTAATTTCTAAATGAAAAAGAATTTTAGGAACATTTAGCTTCTGCACAGTGAACTCTACGCTTTTCAATAATCTCCTCGCTACTATTCTTGCTGCCATGCATATAAACACATTCCTATTTGTTGTAATGTCTTTTGTGATGTTTAAAAGCTTTGCAATTTTTCCCCTCTATCTTTTGACTCTACTCTTATCAACTCTTCTATCAACTGTTTAAAAATACTTCTTGTTCCTAACACATTTCCTTTTACGTGCTAAGACTTCAGAACTACTGCAATGTTCCCTCTCTTCTCTTAAAATCCAAGGCTTTGACAACTTTCCATCGACTTCAACAATTCAACCCCAAGCTTCCTGGACATTCCAGTTCTCATATTCAGTGTATTTGACTTCACACATTCTGCTGTTTTAAAATACAAAAAGCTTCTTTATGCTAGTAGTCCTCACATATCCTGTGAAAGAACCGAACAGTTTAGAGAACTATAGTGACAGAAATTATCTACATGGTGTCAATATCCTGAGAAAAATGGAAAAATGCAGCAGAGAGAAGACAGTTTGAACATGGCTTTGCAGTGCCTTCTCAGAACTAAGCACATCAGAGTATGTATAACTTTCTGGTGAAAAAATACCATGATGATGTGGGGAGCTGCAAACTGTTACAATTAATTCATGTCCCATCTAGTATCAAAGCAGTTTTTTCTAAGTGAATTCAAGTTGTATTCTTTGTGCTACCATTTTTTTGCAGGATTCAGTCTGGCTGCTCTAGAAGAAAAAACCTTTTGATACACAGGTGTGTTACCCAATGTATTATTTGGGCAAGAAACTGATCAAAACATCAAAACACATTTCCACTTCTCAAGTAATACAGCCTCACTTCATCTTTTGTTCTACTTTGTTGAAGAAGGGAACACATTAAAAGTTAACATCACAACTTAAGAGTTCTCAGGCACACCTATGAAGTTGCAAAACAAAGATCATGTACAATGTTAGTTCAAGATTTAGAGAAATGCAGAGCCTTGCCTCCTTATTTAAATGAAATATATGCTTCAACAGCCTTACCTCTTAACTGATCAAAACACACCTATTCATCAGCTTCAAAAATTGCTATTCAAATTCAAAAATTGCTAGAACTGCAACAAAGGATGTCTGTTTTGACTAATTTGCCATCTATACAGGAGCCCTGACTAAAATGGCTTAGCTTAATTTAAAATGCATTAAGAGAAATCAAGTTTCACTTAATTTTCAATACAACATATCAGAATTTAAATGGAAATTTCTGAGCTACAATTCTACTCTTCAACTTTTTTTTTGGTAAAGATATAGAAAGAATTGCATAGGAAGTATTTGGTAACAGAAAAATAAGTGTCAGAAATTCTTTTACTCTTCTTCCTGAACAGATTTAGCAAAAAGTTCCTCATTTACTTATTTTTAAATACAAGGTATGTGGGTAAATAGTAACCAATTAATGCTAATAGCATGAATAATTAATTCTATAACACTAGTTTGAGTAATGAACTTTTAGGCACTTTTTCTTCACTAAGGTAAGCAATTAAATCCCAACTGACACATGAATGACTGCTGCATTCTTGCATCTTCACATATTTTGAAACCAATTAAAAAAAATGTATTATAAAGCTTGCTATTTCATATCTGTTTTAAGAAAGCTAACAGAATTTGAAGTAACAGGACTTTATATTCCTATCAAACAGAGACAGCAAGTAAAAGTTGATTTCTCATTAGGAATATTAATGCTACTTACCTATATATATGTCTCAGTTATAGATTCATTAACTATACTATTCTCAATTTTAACAGAAAAATTTAAAACTAAGCTAAGAGTTCTATTAGAACATCTTTAAACACTTAAAAACAATCTACTAACATTTGGTTCTATGGTTTTCTTTCCTCTCAGACCCAGGTATTATAGCTATACTTTAAGATTCAATTTTAATAAAATAACCATCACATGCATGTATTAAGTTTCACCAGTTCAACAATAACCTAAAAATTAAATTAAAAATCAATTAATTTTATTATAAAAGAATAATAGACCACTAGAAAAATATTATATTCTGTGTATAAAAAATAATTAGATTCTATTATTGTTCTTCATCTATAAGGACTAAAAATAACATAAAATAATATGTAATTTATATTTTTATAATTCATGGTTTTTGTTATAAAAACTCTCTTACTTGCTTAAACTATCAAACTACTTTTTGACTGGTCTCTCTATGAAAAGTAAAAAGATGTTTTTCATAAATTCTGGATTGTTTTAGGTATGCATAAAACTGCTACCCATCTTCACTCTAACAGAAAGAAACAAGGATAGATGGTTAGATACACATTCTCATATTTTATGCAGGCCTTAAGAAAACATATTTTACCTTATTAACCTTATTAGAGGTAGCATTTCTAGATTTTCCAGGCTCAGAGTCACTTTTAGAGTCAGATTCTGACTTGGATCCTGAAGAACTTTCATCTGATGAAGTGTATTCTGTATCAGAGGAACTGGATGTGCTTCTCTTTTTGGAAATCCCCTCTGCTTTCTTTTTAATATCCTCCGAATCACTACATATTTAAAAAAAGCGTTAAGAGACATGTAAAACCACCAAAGGAATCAGCTTGGGCAATATCCTACATCAGCATTTCAAAGTTTCATTAAATGAGTTTCAAGTCATGATTTCTCCACAACAAAAAACTATTCACCTATGAACGAAGTAGTTTAAGGCTACACAAAACTGTTCTATTATACTACACAGTACATCATCATATGTAGTCTAAATGAGCAAAACAGCTAAATAAAATGTGAACATATAAAAATATTATTTGCATGCATCAAGCTTGTGACATTACAAAAGGAAGTACAGCCCCCCTTTAAATAAAGATGCTTTCATACTATTCCGCCTATGATGAACAGAATTTTCATGTATCATCTTTTCGTACAGTAATATGGCTTAAAAAAACCAAATTAGTTTAGTTTATTCCTTTGTTAATTCTTCTGAATAAAACTGCATCACCTAGAAATAAGACCTATAATGTCTACAAATTGTTCAACACATTAAAGAGTTTATACACAAGAGCTGTTATATTCCTACACCTTTGGTCACAGTGAAATTCTGTTCACCCACCAATGTTGGTTTATGTTGGTGTGTGTTAACAGCCAGCTGTTATGTTATCTGCCTTGTTCACATCTAAAAATACTTAAAAAACTAGTTACTAGATTACCTTTTTGTCTCAGGGGGAGTTACTACCACAGGAAATGAAAATTGTTTTCTAACAGTTGTCATGGAGCAGAAAAATTAATATTGCATATAGAAAAAACCACTCTGTTCTTGGATTTGCAAACAACTATTTTATACTTCTAAATCAGGTGTTTCATACACCACCTGATTCAGCTTCCTTCCCAAGACAATGAATTGGCTGTTGAAGCGCTTGAAGGGTAACAAGGTCAACAATAATTAAACAAATCTAGACTACTCAACTATTAAGAGTCCCTCTGGACTCATATTAAATTGTTACAAATTTTTGCTTAGCTTTAAGAGCAGTACTAAAGAATGTACTATGCTGCATCACTGAGATTGCAATGTTTTCAGATGAAAAAAGTACAGAGAAGGAGAAATGAAAATCTGAAATGACAGAGATCAAAATAGAGTGAAGTCTTCCTCCTCTCAAGAACCTCCTATGACTGAATTGTCTAAATAAAATTTAATCAAAATTATTTCAAATAAATAATGTTTAGGCCATGCCTACCCATGTAACTGAAGCTAAAATTATTTCCCCAAATTTTAACCAAAAGCATAAAGCAGTAAATTTGAAGCCTGCAAAGCTAAAAATGGAACAGTAGTACATGTCACAAAAACAGTGTACTGTAGCACATCTGATTGTTAAAATCATGGTGAAAAACAGGTTCTGCAAATTATGTTTCAGTATGACAACATTTAAAAAATTGTTTAAGGTAAATGACAAACAAAAATCCACTACTATATACTGTTCAAAGTTTCTTCATGACAACATCCATATTTCATTCACTGCCATTTAACAGTAGCTGTAGTTGCATTAACAAATAAGTTGTTGTGAACCCATTACATAAATGAAGTTGTTTTTTAATAATTTATCTTTAGCTTAGCTTTAAAATTAGCTTTGAAGATTAAAAATGTTACTTTACCACACATCAGCCAGTTTTGATGGGTAATAATTGTTTATCTTACTGCTTAAAATTTCAGATGTTATTCTAATGAAAAGAATTTACTGGTAACTAGCTTTTTAACTTTGCGATGATGAAAAGCCTGTATTAATTTAACCTACAGATTTCATTTGTTCTGAACAGGAAAAACAATATAAATCACTTTTAAAATCATTAAATCCTGACTTAAATTAATAAAGTCATAATTAGGGCATTATGCTGTGTTTGTTATGGAAGTGGCAAGGCGAGCTGCTTTAATTACTGTCTGTAATAAAAGGAGCAGAGTGTGTACTGCGCCCCAATCAGCGCTGTCAGCCACGACTGAGCTGAGCTGCAAACTCATCAAGTGAGCTGGCAGCAGACTACAAAGTAAAGGGCGATCGTGTCTGCAGAGGCTACTTGCTGACAGCAGTAGAAGAAACAGATTCATACAATCCAAGGTATTAGCCCCAATTACTCAAAATTTTAATGATACTTTAATACATGATAATGCTGTTGATAATAGGCAATCTTAAAAGCTCCAACACTTAAATATCTTATGACCGTTTCCCTTCACAGCCCTTGCCTCTAATATTTGGATCATAATCTTTTTAATATAACATTATTTAGAAAAATCAATTGTCTTAGTTACATAATGGCAAAGTGTTGAAGGACTTAATTTTAGCTCTCAGCAAAATTGCATCAAAGGTAATTAAGTGTTTCACACAACTATTTGATCACTTATTCAGCCTCCCAAGGTTACATCAATTTTCAACAAGCCACCCAAGATTTTACTGAAGTCAGAAATTAATTCCAAACATAAGACTAGTCTGATTAATGAAAATTTGAACTAGGTTCATACCCTGACATCACTCCTTGGCCAATACACACCCAAAATAGCCTAATTAAAGGCTTGGCAGACTGGTAACAGGAAGAGTGCTTTATAAGATAGTATCACAAAAAATTAAAACCAGACAAACATTTACCTACCTTTCATTGACAGCCCTATATGTTTTCTTAGCAGCACTTTCTTTGCTGTCTGATTCACTGTCAGTTGATTCTTCACTGGGAGAGGAACTCCCACTACTCTCATCAGTGCTGCCTTCCTCTTTATCTTCCTTCTCACTTTCACTGTTAGACCCACTCCCTGAAAAGAAAACAAGCCTTACAATTTTGATCCAAATAGCTTAAATAATTAGCATTTTAGAAATCAAATTTTGTTTTAAATTAAACAAAACAAAATTTGATTTCTAAAATATTTGGTTTGGTATTTTAAGATCCAGTTGAAAGCTTTAGTATTATCTACCCTGTGACAAAAGCAGGCAAGGGAACTACTTTCCCCTTATATCTACAAAATTTTATTAGTTGAAGATCTGTCCTCTTCAGCCTACAGTATTATACTTTTTCAAATTAGAAATTTGAATAATAAATTAATCACATGTGGATTCTTCAAAGTTACATAACCCTATAAGGAGCTGGAGATGACCTCAAATTTTCTAGACTTTACATTCGCTCAGCTGCAAAATTATCTTCTCAAACAGTTGCTTAATTAGATAATCTGTTCTTAAATACCCATAGTGACTATGATTGAATCACTGATTTAAACAAATTATTAATCCTGTAATTAATCACATAGTTACAAAATATTCAAATATCTATAGTGAGTATATGCTTCCATTACTTCAGAAATCACTAATTTCAGTGGTACAATTCTTAACATTTCTGCATATTTCCTCAGCTTATGAACTGGAAGGAAGCAGCTCCATCTTTGTATTCTAAGATGACCCTCTTCCATTCAACTAGATACTGATAATTCTTTCAAGTCTCTAATGCTAGACATTTTCTGTGTTTAAAGTCTGGACCTGGAAGAATTATGATCTTTACTACATCTGAAATATGCTAACATCTTCTGAAACAGCTGTCCTGGGGAACTGCCTATCTGACAATAAATGGTAGAATAGTTAAAACAACCTCTGCTTACTGAACTTCATAGGTAGCTGTTATCCTCTTCATCAATATCCCCATTATAATAAACAGAAAACATAATGTAGAACTTCAGAGAAATAATGTAACACAATTTGCTGAATAAATCTCATGAAAGACTACACAACTAAGCAGATCTGGCCATTTATCAGCACAGCAGCACATGCTATCAAAATAATTCTTCACCACCACCAAATGCCAAAAAACACTTAAGACTTAAGGTTTCTGACAACCAAGCATCTGGGTACTTCTCCTGCAAACAGCTATGTGCTTTCAGTTTTAACTGGAGTTACAAACTCTCCTTACTCATATTAGACTCCAATAAGGATAAAAGAAGCATGCCAGCTTTTTCGCCTGGGAAACAAATCAAAAGTTAACTTATTAAATATGGTGAATGTAAAATTTACCCCCCAATTTATTGAGTTTACACACAGCTCTGGCTTTGTTTGCAATTTTTTTTTCTTTTTATGTACCAGACAGTTCTGAAGACACGGTTTTCCAGGCAGCAAAAATACAAGTTGCTTTCCAAACACTTACCCGATGAACTGGTACTGGCAGACTCATCTTCCTCCTCTTCTGATTCAGAGTAGAACTTTTCAGTAGGTTTCTCCTTCTTTGGCTTGCCTAGAATTCCAGTCCATTCCTTTGCCTGTAAATAAATTTCAATTTAAGTTTACTTTTGCAACCAGCAATACAAAAGTATTCAGACAACACATCAAATAAAAACATTCAGAGCTGTTGCTAAATAAATTATCTGAGCAAGTCAAGAGAAGCTATTAAACCTCTCTTACTTCACACAATTAGGAGAACTAGAAGTTTGGTACATACCTATAAAATGAGAGATGTCTATTAGGTAGTCCAGAAAAAGATTTAGTAAGCTAGATTAAAATCATCAGTAATGATAAATAAATTTCTATGCCAAAAGAACATGAAATCTGAGAGTTTTATTTCTAGATCCAGCTGACTACAACTGGAATGAAGGTTAAATCCACCACCTTAATAATCCTATTTTTTGCAGAAAACAGATGTGGACACTCAAGATAGCCACAGACAAATTATTTTTCACTTCCATTGCAATTCTCCAAATAAAAGTAATTTTTTGCCACCAAGAGAATGTCAAAATGAGGCAGTATTTCTACCAGACTTTTTTTCTTCCCATATACCACTCCGCTACTAGAGAAGCAATGTTAAAATTCAGGACAGGAGAGAAAAACACACTGGCAGACAATTCTATCAATTATCAACAATGTGATACAGGCCTGCCTCATTGACTGATCTGATCTGGAATAAGACTTAAGTTTTGAAATAGGCTCTAACCTGAAAGGCTGAACAACTCTAGAGACACATTGGCTTCCTCTTTAACACCAACAGCTGCTTGAAAATGCCAATATTCTTTTGGGTATTTATGACAATTTGCATGTGGATTGCAACTTAACTCAGCTTTACTCACATATGCTATGTAGGCACATGCAGTATTAGGGAAACCACAAAATTAATGAAAATTAGATACCCTCCAAAGAAAATATTTGCAAAAACCCCAACATGGCTGAAAGATTTTCCAGTTTGCTTTCAGGTTTAAATAGTTTGAGGTGGATTTTTTTTTACTTGAGGTGGATTTTTTTACTATGTTGTGGATGGATGTTACACCATTTGTTCAATTTCCTGCAATACTTTTTGGTCTTACAGGTTTGGTCTTATGGATGAAAGCATCTTGGCAAATTCCTTCATGCCAACCCTTTCATTTATAATCCTCTGCTTGAGCTGATTATCTAAAATTCTTTCCATAAAAACTTTCAGAAGTTTGTACAAATATCACTTTTCCTGAAATGTATATAAGAAGGTAAACACATTAGAGTACTAAGGAAAAATGCTTTTTCTACAAGGTTGCTGTCTACTGGCTTCTGTAAGTCAGACCTATTTTTTAAATTTTCTTGCTCTTTCTGTGTGTAACATCTCATAAGCAAATGATTTAATCTATGACTTACTGAGGAAGTTGGTTCATTACCAGGACTGCATGCTTTTCTCTCTGTGTATCTGTTTCAATGCCACACCTCCAGGAGCACCATCGGCACACTATATACCAATATATTTACATTTCAGCTACTACTTAACAGATTTCACTGACATTCCAGCAGCATTCTGGTACCCAACACATAAATCACAATTCTCGTACCAAAATATGACTTTCCCTCAGAGTTTACACTGCAGTAACAAAAAGCTATTGCTAGTAGATGACAAGCCCAATGTGTAAACACATGACGCACTAGTAGCTGACATTTTCCTATCATAAACTTTCCTAATCCTCTTCAGATTATCTGAAATGTAAACCCTCATCTCTTCCAAACTCGACACTTTGAAGCATACATAATCTAATCCCTTGCAGCTGCTTTTTGTTATTTGCATTACCTTTTTCCTTTTTGTTTTTGTTTGTTTAGCCTTGGATTTTTCACAAACCAACCTCTTCATTTCTGACTTTGGTAGTCCAGCTACACTCAATTAACATACTGCGGCAGAGTGGAGATAAAAGATAGGAAATCAGAAGTGAGCTGGAGGGGAAAAAAGCCTACTTACTCCAAAAATGAAGCGGAAGTGGCTACAGTTTAGTCACTTCTGTCATTGAAAAGAACTAGCATTAAGCAAGTTTCCAGATGCTTGATTTCTAAGATAAAATAAGCAACAGGACATTCCCACGCATCAATGGCTTTCAACACAGGCCACAGATAGTATTTAAATACTTCTAGTTTTGGGCTAACTCTCTGTATTGACGAGTGCCTTCAGCAAAGTTACTTTCAGTGACGCAGACGTACCGACTCAGCCACGTCGACATTTCGGACAGAGGGGTCAGGTGCCACCTCTGGCCAGTCAGACAGCTCCAGGTACCCAGTGGCTCGGCTGTTCAGTGTGTGAGACAAGGTGCCAAGCTGGAAATGATCCCGATCTATTAAAAAAGCGGGGGGGGGGGGAAGAAACACACAAACACTGTGAGCTATACCACAAGGAGCAATCTTAATCAGGGCTAAAGGTAATTGCCATTGTATTACCTCAAATGTCATGGAATAAATATAAACTAGGAAGCTCTTCATAGGTCAAAAAACTGATTTCAGTCCATAGATTACAATAATCTCCCCCATAATGGTCAATAAAAAAGCTAATCAGTCAGTGTGTTTAGAGGTGTTGCTCTGAAATGTAGCTTCTCTAAAAATTACTTTACTGTGAATATTAAGAATGACAGCACAGTTAAACAATCCATATACATGTCTTGGCACAAACACATCCAGAATTTTAATAGTTTTTCTTCAAAATGGAGCTCCTTTTAAAGCTTCAAAACTAGACCTAAGTAAGTATGAAAACTAAAATGCAAATTGTCACAATAATAGAGTATTTTTAATTTAGATAGCCTGATAGCCTTTTAATTTGAGAAGACAGACAATGAATATTACTGGTAAAACAATAGGCAAAATACAGAGGGAAAATTATTATTTTGGAGAAAAAAATATCTACAGAGATTCAATTTATTTCAAATTCATATAACATTTGAAGTACTCACATTAAGAATCATCTAATTGTTAAGTCCAGGTAAAATCCTAGAGCTGTTTTCCTAAACTGAAGAATAGTTTTCCTCAAAAGACATACCTTCTGTTATTTAAATAAAATTTAAAATCTACATGAATAGAAATAGATCATTTTGCCAGGATTTATTGTTAGAGAAATGCACTGTGCACCTTGCTTGTTGAAAAGCAAGTAAGCAGACTGAGCATCCTTGCATATTAATCTTTTCTGTTTGCTAAGTGACACAATTTGTGAGAGTATTTGAAATAGAATAAGCTGCCACATTCCTTTACACAATGAACATTTACCAAATGATTTTGGCAGTTATACCTTTAAAAGGAGACTCAAGCAAAGGGGCAGGTTTCTGCGCCAGAAATATTTTTTTGGCATATTTGCTTAAAGCTCCACTCTTCTCATTCGGAACAATAAGCTGCCTAATAAATCTTGTACGGTCTCTGATGTCGTAGCTTTGATCATACTTGCCCAGATTTAATACATACTGGGTAAGCAATTTTGTCTGTGGAAAAAAACAGGACAAGAACAGAATACAAGTTATTTATGATTATTGATAACTCTGGATAAACATATTTAAAGAGGTAATAAAAATGAATGGTTATGTCAAACAAATGTTGCTCCACAGGGAATATGCATTTCTAAAGCTGCAAATGGAATTCTGCAGCCAAAGCACATGTCCTCCTCTGTATTGAGGAGGTGAATGCTGAGTACTGAGAAGCAGCCATGTGCTAGATTATTAAACTGCTGAAGTGGAAAGAAAGGCATCATTAAAAAAATAATCATATATGGCAAACCCGCTGAACGGTCTACGTGAGGATAATGAATGTGGAAATACAACTAAAAACATGGCACTCAAAACTTAATCGGAAAAATATGCAGGACATCAAAACATCAGAGGGTATTAGGGGGCTGGCAAACTGCTTCTGCTGAGGTGTGTTTTATGAAGAGATACTGTCCCTGGCATAAGCAGTGTCTGCACTCTGACTGCACTCAGTTACTTTATCCTGAATTATGACCCATTAAAGCAGACACATGAATCACTGAACTGGATTACTGCAAATTATTTGCAGCGCATTTAGCTGTTACTTTTTCATAAAAGCAAGCTGCTGATGCCCTCTAAAAACCAGGATAAAAGACTTCTTCCATTTTTTTTCTTAAAGTCTTCAGTAATATCAGTCATTTATTTATTTATGTTAGAGCAACTTACACTATCACAGGTTTTTACAGCATAATAACAGCTTCCTAATTTGATGTTTGAGAATATTAACATCTTAAATAATTTTAACAATTCAGATAATTTTTTAAGCTAAGAAAATAATGAAAGAAAGGAAGGAAACACAGAAAACAAAAATAATGTAGTGTAATCACTGCAACACTGCTGAATAGACTGGAATCCACTAGATTAATTTGAAACATGTATGCTACTTCTTCTATAAACAACCAAACAAGAAAAAGAGCAGAAGTAATATACCATCCTAAGGAAGCAGATTTTGGTACTTCAGCTCAGAACAGATGCATAAGACAGGGTTAATAACATACAATCATGAGAGACTTATCCACATTACACAAAGAAACAACCTTGCATATATATATTGTTTATCATGCTGTTGCTATGACTATAACAGTTTCAATCATTTGAGCAGAAAAACATGTCCAAAAAATCAGTTAATTTTTGTATATGCCATTTGCTAAAAAAAAAAGGTCAGATTAATAATTTTCAATTTGAGGATGCAAGTTGAAGTTTTTTTCTGGAGATATAAAAATGCTTTTTCAGAGTACTGATTAACTCCTGTAAGTGAGACACACAGTAAATAGAAAATGGTTCTAATTTAAACCCCATCAATGCAACATATGCAAGCATTTAAAAAATAACCTATGGTACCAGAGATTGGAATAAATTAGTCATTATACATTAGAATAATAAAACAGCATAGTTTAAAAAAACTGTCAATGAAATATTTCTTGTTTCTTTTTTCTCTCTGATACCCAAGAATGGCTCTGTGAAAAGGGGCTTTTTTTCCTTGAGGTACTGTCTTAGTTCTGGGAAAGGTAAAACTTTCCCATATGTATTTCACAGTTTATTGGCAGCTAATTCTGTATGAGGGTATAAAATTTTAAACAACTGCATCAGACTGAGCCTACATAATCTGCACTCATGCAGGACTTACGCTGTTCAATGTAAATGGAATTGGAAGGGAGGGTTCCCAGGTAGCATGCATTAAACTAAATGAGGGATACCTCCTGCAGCCTTTGTCATCACTTCTCCACTGTAAAACAAGACAAGGCTCCTCACTGACATGGCAGGAAGCTTAGGGGAATGGCTCATAAAACACAATGATCTTAACCTGTGAATTGCTATAGGGATGGGAAAAGTTGAAGGCCTTGTCACAGATGGCATTTTTTCAGTGAGTGTTGATGGAATTACATAAAGACAAGTATGACAGATAAAGAGTTGATCCTGAAAGACTGCAATTCCTTTAATGGGATAATTTTCTCCATGATCTTCTTCCTTTTCCTCTTCCCTGTTCTGTCCTCTAAAATATAATTTTCATATTGTTCAATATAGATAAATACACAACAAACTTATAAACAAGAATGTTCTGTGTCTCCAAGAAGTCTCTTTGCAATTATCACATACACTATAGTTTTCATGGAAACAGGGAGGAAATCTAATTTTAAAAAAATTTTCTCATAGTAAAGCAATCAAACAAGTAGAAGATCTTTTCTACATGGAGATAGCTGATAGAAACAATTTTTTTTAATTAAAAACAAAAAGCCCCCCAACAAATACATGTAAATTTTTCCAACAGGGGAGTTCCTAAAATAAGCTGAAAATCATTTCAGCAAGCACACTGATTTGGTGAATCATGACAGATTCTGCAAACCATGACTGCTTCATAGAATAGTGACAAAGTATTTTGATCTGTGATTTAAGACACTTATTATCACATGTCAATATTTCCTGATATCTCTACATGCACATTGTATAGGCTGAATATAATTTCTTTTATCCCCAAACTGTTGAAGCCATTATTATTTTTTGTACACTTTGTTTTGGCTAGAAGGGTTAGGTTTAGGTATTTCTAGAACTCAATCATCCTCTAGCAACATTTCTGGAATTTTCTAGTGACAATAATTCTATTTAAGGATTTAATGCCTATCCTATATTAGCAGTAATTAATTTTTTGGTAGATCCCCACTTGAATATTTTACAATACAGGTTTTATCAACAGATGAGGCTCCACAATGAGACAGAAACAGTTATCTATCCACTCCTATATATCATTAGCTTTCAATAACTTGATTCTTTGGACACACAAGATAAGGCTATTGTGCTAAACCACGACTGACATATCTATTTACACCCTACAACTACTTGGGACTTCTGGTGGGAGTCCTACTGCATTACACTACAGAAGCCTATCAAAAACCAAAATCTCTATTTTTTTCTGTTACATGCAAGAAGCATCTTAGGCAGCTATATGACATATTTCTCTTCTATGTGCTGTCGAGCACACTCAGGGTTTTATGACCCTAAGTGTTGAAAAAACAAACCGAGTTTATCAAAATATACAGACAACCAGAGGGATGTCTGTTTTTGCTACATACCTATCCAGATATAACTGAACCTGAAACTTCCTTAAATTATAGGGAAGTCTTTGAAAGTCCATGAGGTGATCTCAGGATTTAAAGTACATTTTAATTTTATTTTAAGAAATCGTGTTCAAAATCCTGTGAATGTGTTCACTGTTTCACCATATCCTTCAGGAAACTACAAGCAAATAAAATAATATACTTAGACAAAATGAGTAAAACAAGCAAGTCTTATTTACTCCAGAACTTTGTGCTTTTCTCCAAACAAGACTTAACAGAAGTTAAGTCAAGATGAGTTCAACCTGCCTTTCCCTCACCTGGTGAAAGAGATCTTTTCATCTACTCAGTCAGCATTGAGTGTTTTCAATAAAGTGAAATTTTATCTTTGAGGTTTTCACAACACCATTAACTTTGGATGAAACGGATTAATTATTCATAAAATTACTACGTCATAGGATATGATATGGAGACAGAAAACAGGTGACTGAGGAGAGGTGGACAGACTTACAACAGGGCAATCAAGTCCCCAAGATTTGACATCAAATTTTAAAAATGAAACTGAAAAATGGCTGGACTTTTTAGGAAGAGAAGTAATGCCAGGAAGTAATTTTAATACTGAGTGAGTAGAAAAGAGTTCCTCCTGGAAATAATCATGTAGATATAGGAAGAGTGTTGTCAGTCTCTAATGGGAAACCCATGGTATTCCAGTTTGCAAGGAACTTCGAATCAAGCCAAGTCACCAGACATACACTGTCAGCAATTTTATGTGGATACCTTGACCGCTTGAGATAATAACTTATTTTTCCACAACCTAAAACTACAAGAGTAAAACACCCTTTGATGAAATTCATCATTTAGTAGGCATCTCAGAGACAGTTTCTTCTGCTTTATCATCATTACCATGTTTGAATAAAGAGTATTTTGAAGAGCACTTACAATGATGATTTAAAATGCATTAAGATGTGAAATGCATTGAAGGAATCACAGGAAAAAATGCATCACAGAAATCCATATGCAACAGATTTTTGACCAAATATGATGTGGAAGAATTTATGTGCAAAATTACAAAAACTATATGGAAAATTAGTAAATATAATGGGCTAAAAGAGGACAGTTTAGACAGTAAACCCAAATATTTTCTTATCTCAGTCAGCATTTTCTTTAAGATGAGCACTGCCAGAGAGAAGTCACCTTTTATTACTGACGCATTTTAGACTGTATAAGCAAAGCATTCACTCCAATGTGAATGCATGGAAAGACACTTCATGTCCCATATGCCCTACAAAATAAAGCCTAAGATAGATCACTGCTGTAGTTGCATATAACTATCAAGGAACAAGAAGACATCAAAGTTGCAGAGATGCAAAATCCTATGCTGTGCAAACTGTTTTAAAACACAGAGGTCTAGCAGCCCAGAAAAGTACATATATCAGACAATGTATTTCTTCTACATTTGGAAAAAAAATCTTTGATTTTACAATCTTTTACAGCAAAAATTGGATTTCCAGTGAAAAATTAGTGTCAAAATGCTACATTCCATAGTCAGTGATGGGATTCACAGCGTTGTCACTTGAAGAGTGAGGCACCTGGCACCACTCATAGCCATTGTTTTCAGCTGCTTGGAGATCTAAGTTCATGTCTTTTTTATCTGACATTTTTAGATTATTTTTACTACTAGTGATATTAAAACTCATCCAAGGTAAAAGGAAATAGGAAAAACTAAATCAAACCAACCAACCAACTAACAAAATAAATTAAAAAAAAGAGAAACCGGTTACTGTCTTTAAAACAAGCATTGTTGAAATAGAAAACAAGGCCTATTACTGGCATTTCCTTTTAGATACCCTGAACAAAAAAACGGGCAACTTCTTGTTCAAAATGACAGCACTTTCTTGAAAGCTCTAGTTTTGCTTTCAGAAAACATTAAATCACATCATCAAAATCTACTACCTGGTATAGTTAACACAATTTACAGATCTTCTCTATTTATGTGAAGTACAAATATCACAATTTCCAAAAGACACATACAAAAAAGAGTTTATCTTGTCACTATTCACATTTATGATCCAGCACACACTTAAAGACTCATGATTAGATTTAGTCTATTACATTTCTTGAAAACATATGTTCTGCTTTTCTTCATAGAATAATATCGACTAGGTTTGGTTACTTACATAGGAGAAATCGTTACTGATCTATGCAGACTGTACAAAACCTGCCATGACTCTGAATACATACAATACTGAGTTTAGGCTTACCTGCTTTGAATTTGTTAAGTAGAGTTTTGCACCCAAGTTTAAGATCTGCAACTTTACAAGATCGTCTTCATTCGTGAAGCTCTTGGCTGTCTTCCTCAGAACATCAGGTGCGATCTTTGGAACACGTTCACAGTACTCACCGATGAGCCAGAAGATGCTGGCTCTGGCTACTGGAACCTGAGACAACATTGAGCACTCCAAGTTAACAAAGTCACAAAGACTACTTGCACACTTGTATGTATCTTTTGTTCAACAACAAGTTAAACAAAATACTATTTAAAGACAATTGACATAAAAGTTATGCAGTGTGAAATTAAAAACAGCCACTGTGGAGGACTGAATATTCATAGAAAGGTAAGATACTGATTCTGACCCAAAACCCATGCCTTACAGGTTGATGATACAGAGGCACACAGAAGTGATATGTTGATATTCACAGTACAAGCTGATGAGATTTGGGAACACAGCCCAAGCCTTCAAGATGTGATTGTGAATTCCTGCCACCAGGTTATAGTAAATACCTGCCTATCTAGTTTAGAAGCATATGTATTTCTTTATTTCTAGCTTTCCTTCATTTTTATTCAGAATTTTATGACAGTAAGATTTGTAGTTTTGCAAACAAGACCAGTTAAACTCAGAATACTGGTGAGACAGAAGTTCAAAACTGCAATTCACAATTTCTGAATGGGATCTACCATCTTAACTGAAAAACTGACCAAAAAGTTCAAATGGGTCTTACCATTTTGGAGCTGCTTGACAGTATCACTGAAATAACTAGCAGTAGCAGCTTTCAGATGAACTCCCAGTCTATGATGCCGAGTTCAGAAGCACAGCAATGCCAAAACCAGAGAGAAGGCGAAATGGAAAAGCACAGAGGGAAACAGAAGCTCATGCGACATGCAGTTTAGATAGAAGCAGTTAAGATTTAAATGAAATAATATACACATATTCTTTTAAAATATGTGTATATTATTTATATATTATTTAAAAGGTGAGCTTAGACTACAGTACCTGGTAGTCAAGTTAAAAATTGCATCTATGTTACATACATCCCTTGAAAACATTTTTCTCTTTCCTTGAGCAGAAGGAAGAAAGAATGTAATGAGAAAGTTCAGAAGCATGTCTTGCATAGTGTCAACAGACTGTGGTGCTCCAACAGATTGTGGTGCTCTAACATTCTCTACATCCTCTTGTTCAACATTTTCCCTTGACATTTCAAAGTTCCAGTCTAGCAAAAAGAGACTGTAATTCAGGAAAAAGAAAAGTTTCCACAGCAATTTCACGAAATTTTATTGCTTTTTCTAAAAGGATCAGAAAAACTCATACTAACGTTTTTCATTAGTCCTTATACTACACAGTAATCTTTATTAATAAGCTTACACTAATGGTAGGATGAGTTTTGCCTTGGATAAGATTCACAGAATATACGTGCTTTAGAAATGCAGCATTGTGGTTCTCAAAGTATTAATTCTTAGTAACTTTTATATATGCTTTAATTGCTTTTCCAGCATGTCTGTTATTAATATGTGAATATCTATTTCTCAGAATGACAACAGGAACCTAATATTAAGTATCTTACTCAGTAATCTCGTAACATTTGAAACTACTACTTATGAAAGCATATTCTAAAAAAGTAAAATGGCCTACTAAGCCTACTAAAGAAATACTAATCAAGTTCACAAGAATTTTTAAGGATTAAATGTGCTCCAAAAAGTTTGGAAACAACTCTGAATGAAGTCAGCTTGACAGTATTTGTCTCTGTACTTGACATGGTTAAAAATATACATGCCAACAAAAATATAAACAGGCATGTCATGGGGAAAACAGAGGACTGCCTCCACTGAAAGAAAAAAAAAGCACATAATGGATAAACAGAATAGAGTCCAACAACAGCAACCAAAAGTCCTGTTAGAGATAAAGCTAATTCTGATTATGGGGAAGAAATTTAAGATAGAGGCAACATAATATGCTGAGAGTAGTATAACACAGTGATTTAACATATATAGATATAAGTAAATACAGATCAAGATACAGATGAATTCTTTAATGTGAGTTGAAAAAGTTAAATAACCTTGGAATTTACAATATGAGAGAGACGAACAAGCTACTGAAAAACTGCTATGTATAAAAACTTTAAACACTCAGAGTATGTTCGTCTGCAAAATGGTAAGACTGATGCCATTACTGTGCACTGATTTCAAAAGGGAAAGAGGTTATTTCTAATGTTCCAAAGGTTACACTGCATTAAGACCTCACACCCAATCTATTATTTTAAATTGGGCTAAAGAATAGTAATTGAGTGGTACATTAGATTTTCCAGTATTGGAGCAGTTCAAGTTGCCTACTGTACAGATAGATACCTCTAAATAAGAATATATAGGCAACTTCAGATTTCAGTTACGCTAGATTTATTTTTCTAAAATATTTTATTACAGACGTGTTAAAATACTAAAATTCTACAAGAGATCATCAAGTTTGGGCAGGAGCCTACCAGAAACATTCTTTTTCATATTGTTGTCTTTTGATAAAGCAAACAGAGCTCACAGAGCAGACCAATTTCAGTAATAGCATTAATAATGACCTGCAAGTATCGCTCTTGTATTTTCCTAGTCAAGCACAGGACTACACTTTAAAACCACAATTAAATGTATTTAAATATATTTAAATATATTTAAATAGTGTGCATTTAAGCACAGTGTTTTACTCATCAAGTCTTTTTTCCAGTTTGTAAAATAAATTTATTAGAGTAATAAACTAGTTTTACAATGGTAAATAATTAAACTAAACAAAACCTCATTTGAAAAATAGTGACAATGGAAGACAGGAATTTCTTGTGAGAATCTGCCTTTTAACCAGGTGGTTAGCTTACTATGTAAATACTGCATATATATTAAACACAATTTTGTGCCATAAGAATCAATACCAATTAGAGACTTTTTGAATCAAACCCTGAGCAGAAGCCATTTTAATGAAAAGTGTATGTCGAACTGATGAACCCAATGTTTCTGTGTCACTGGATTCATTTGAGGTCAAAATCACACAATATTTTCAGACTTCTTTTTCCCTGTTTAAGTCTTCCAGTTCTCAGCCATGTAATATCAAATACATGATCCTACAGCTGTTGTTTCCAGGGTACTCAAAACAGCAAACAAGAAATGAAGCCCCTTCTAGACCTTCACTGCCTTTTCCAGTATAGCTTAAGTAGGGACCTTGAATTGACAAAAACGCAGGAAATAATACTTTCATTATTCAGTCCTGCTCTGCATTATCCTCAAAGGCAAACAGGATTGTAAATTACTTTGCCTGATGTTTTATTCCATATGGCCCGAGCAAGTGGTTAAGTGCACTTTTTAAGCCTTTAGTACCAGGAGGCAGTTTCTGTTGCCATTTCAACCCATTACCTGTCTCAAGGAAAATAAATAAATGGTTACAAAAGAAAAACAAAAAACCAGCCAGACACTCCCCTCAAAGTAAGACTCTGGTTACTTACAGCAATTAGAGAAAGATACCATAAGGACTTTACAGATTGCTCTAAGCAGCACAATTGAAAAACTACTGAAAGGTAGTTCAGCTCGCAATATATTCACACAAAACACAAGGGTAAAGTACAACTTAAAATCACCAGTTTTGGTTATTCCCATCTGTCACAAAATGAGAGATACTCAAATTGCAAATGAGGTGCAATTTTCTGCATCCAGGAGAAAATTTGCATGCTAGCAATTTTTAAAAATTTCACTTGGAATCAGAAATGGAAAGAGGAATAAAGTTGATTTGAAATGTCAGACTGACAGCAAGAAGAAAAGGTACACAGGAAAGAATAGGAGCAAAAGAGAAGTATTCATTTTTGTTTTCAAGGACTCATTCTTTTAACCTCTACATATAAAATTCCTTTAAAAGAGAATATTTACTGGTGACTGCACCTCTTACAAAATGTACAATTTTCCTTTTAAATTGTGTTTTATTCAAGCAGAATATTTACTTCAAGTTCAGTGTCCCTGGACACAATATCCCATTGGCAACATATTCCTCTCAAATTCTAAAAAACCACATAGATATCCAAGTCAGTAAAAAAAATGTCAAATTATGAGAATTGTTTGTTAAATCATTACTAATACAAAAGATTAAAAATTATTTATTAAAGTAAGAAGGTAAAAGAATGTGGCTAGAATCTGAAACTTGCAGAACTGAAATACACACAAAGATACGGAAGTCATAGTTTGTGATACCTTCTCTACCCCACAAGAAAGAAGAACTAAATTAAAGAAAGCAAGCTCCCTGTTCTGTGAAGCCGTATCAGAAACAAAACAATGAGCAGTATTCATGTAAGACTAGAAAGTCAAGTTTGTTATCTGTGTGAACAGAGCAGTGTTAAAAACTATGAGTCCCCTAGTCTTGTAATAATAATCCGAATCCAAAACAGTAAATAATAACATTTAATTGCATCCATAAGTGATGTGATTTTCCTCGCATATTAAGCTCTTAAAAATTACACATCACTATCTTATTTTTACTCTATATTTGGAATGTCTTATCCAATCAAGAAGTATTCTTCCTCATCTCTAGATCAGAAAACCCTTTAGGCTTGTTTAATGTTCCTGTTCATATTCTAGAAGGACTAGGAATAAGTCTGTAATGAAAAACAAGAATGTAAGAATTCACCAACTATCAAAAGAAAAAAACATGCCTTAACAGTACTGTAAGAGAAAAGTCACACTGGAAGTCAAGATTCCCATCACCCATATAGTAGTCCTTACTAAATACAATGTACCATAATAATAATTTTTCTAAAAAATGAAAGGCAGAAACAAATTTGGAGACTACTGGCCTTGGAACATTAAGAAGAGAATGCAAAAACATATTCTACATACTGATGACTTCCCAAGGTATTTCTAAGGAAAAATACATTGTGGAATCACGAACATTTTCAGAGAGTTATAGAGTTGTTAAGTCAGTGTTCTGCAGAAGTCAAAAGGATGGCAACACCAGTAAAGTGAGATAAAAAGCACAAAACAAGTAGTTTCACGATGTCATTGCATAAGATTTGTCTAGCATATCTGACTACTGGGCACGCTTCTGGTCACCCTACTTTAAAACCCACACATCAGGAAAAGGCAAAGAGAGGGGGGAATAGTTGATCAGAGACATGGAATATGAGGAAAAATTGGAATTTTTAGATTAGTAAGCATGATGATGTGGACAGTAAGTAGAAGCTTCCCGTAACTTTATTCCAGAAAATACACTGGAGGTGCACCCCAATGAACTTCTCTTAGCTTTAAAACCCTTTCCCTAAAGCATCAGATTTTGTTGCTGCTGGAGATAAAACACATAAAACAGTTTTTGAACTGACCCTTCTTTAAATGGCTCCTTCCCATAAGTATATTTTCTAAACTTCTATCAGTATAAAAGCTGTACACACTAAATTAATTAAGCCTACCTCAGAGTGCACGCCTAACACAAATAAGCACTACTCCAATCTCTGGCTCACAGTTTTGCAAGTCAATAAATTGCAAAGCATGACAATGTTATTAACACATTGACAACTAAATGGAAATGTTTTTATGATTTTTAAAAACAGAAGTTTAAAGAGATCCAATTATTCTCTTGTTTAATGCCTTCAGGACACCATCAGACATGTACTTCTCCATTACAGCTTTTGATGGGTGTGAGGAAAGGAGGCTGGAACACAGCTAGATCACGCTGTACTATACACAGCTCTAAGAACTCAGCAAGCACCACACACAAAATAGACCTCATGGATCTTTGCCTGGGCACACCTGGGATAAAAGTTTAAGATACAAATGAAAATACACAAAAGTAAAGGAACAAAAGTAACCACTATTTTCAGATATGTAAGAAATAATCTAAGGACAAAATGAAATGGACCTAATCTTTATCATAATTTAGAGACAGGGATCTACAACAGTTCAGCATTTTTAGGTGACCTTCCTGATATTCCTTATAGTTGGTCTTACTATTTTTCATATATGGTCCTAATATTTAGCTTCTTATTTAATTAATTTTACAAGGCAAAATTGTTATCTTCTATATATTCTATATCCCACCTCTTTCTAAATGGCTTCTGTGGATGAAGATGAGAACAAGTAAATTTCAGAAAAGTAAATGACCTGAAAAAAACATTGCTGTGAAAGATATTCAGGCACCTCAACACTGCCATCACAATCTCAGGCTAGCACAAGTGAAATTTATAACAATATCAATAACAAAAAATCAGGCACAAATTCAAAAGTCTATTCCTGAGGTTACAACAATTTTGCTTATTTTGGTGGCTCTTTACCATTGACTTAAACTAAATCATGACAGAACAATCAAAGAGCTTCTTTTTTCAGTACAGGCTTTTTGATTTAATAGTATTTAATTCTGTTAACAATTTCCTCTTCATGCTTTCATCTGTGTAATACCTAGTACTAAATTAATTTCAACTCAAAAAGCAACAAAGAATTTCTTTGTTTACATTCCCTCATCCTTCAGTTTCCAGTCCATTCAAGCTCACATTTGGCTGCTTTTCCTAAAGGCAAATGCAAGAGTACCCTAAAAACAGGGCTATATGCCTGTATAGTGCCATAGGGTAGGTACTCCATGTTTCGATCCTAATACTTTACATCAACAGAAGAGAGGCCAAGGGAAAAAATCAAAAACAACCAAAATGCCAAAAAGCCCTGTGAAAAGTAAGTATGTACACATGCGTGTATGCATGTAAGTATGTATATCATTTGTCAGTGTAAAAATGGTCAGGAATCCTTGACAAAATCCAGACAAAACGCAAGGCAATTGTGTTATGTCAACTCACAACCACTTTCACCATAATAAGATCAGTGTTTAAAGTACAAGTGCAGATGTCAGGAATTCCAGTAATACTATATTAAGTGTTGACATCTCAAACTAACACGTCCAGTAATTACATACTCATTCTGAAATCTATACACTTATCCTTTACAGAAGTAAGAAGTTGAGGGTTTGGACAAGATGATGTTTACAGTTTCCTCCCAACCCAAATCATTCTGTGAAGGAATACATTCATTTTCAGGCATTTTAAGGGCAGTCAGAAAAATGATACAGCACTCAAATTTATAATTATGAACTTCTTCAAAATATATTCTTTAATTCAAAGTCTTGAGCACACCAAGAAGGGTAAGTGTGTTGAAGTTGTAATTTAAAATGTCATAGAAAGATGTCAAAAAATCACTTTGGAGAACCTACAGCTCCTTGTAGGTTCATGACCACATGACTCCAATTCTTCATCACCACTTCTTTGTTCTTGAAAAAAAGCCAGGATCAGATTTTGATTTTTACTTTATTCCAATGACTGCTCTATCCCACAGACTGTTCTCCTACCACTTAACATTTTCTGATATTCTATATAACCTCATATTGTAAAACCTGAGAATGTTAAAGTAGTTTAAGCACAGCATGTCTTCTCCCCATCCTCGTTATTTGACTTAAAAAAGGATTTTCTTTTCCACAAAACTTGGAGTATTTCCTTGAAAGCATTAATTGTATAAAGTAGCTACAAAACTATTCTAAGTTTTAAACAGTACATTTAGAGAAGCAACTATTTTCTCTTGTAGAGTATGTGGAAATAAGATGCCAAACTCATTTAGTAAAGTGGCAGAACATTGTTTTTGAAATTGTAATATCCCATCAAAATATTGCACAAATTTTCTGAAAATACAGGTGATTATTATACATGAGGTATTACTTACTTTGATATGTAATTAGCAACAGTATCTTATTTTGATATGAGCAATTCAGTAAAATTTATTTTCTTTATATCAGTTACAAACTGATCATCAGCTCTTAGCAGCCAAAGATTTACTTAATTTTTCCATAAGTATGAACCAAGAATACCATGTTTCTTTTTCTTTTAATACTCTACACTTTGCTGAATTCGACTATGGAGAAATGAAGGTTCACTGATTTAGAAACTGCTCCATTATCAACACATATGTAATTTTGTGAAAATCAACAGTTATGAAATTAAACAGTTCACAACAGAAAAATAATTGTTGACAGATCCAAATCTGACATTTTTGGTTAAGGATATAATAGATAGCTACTAGATGTCATAGCTACACTCTAATTTAGGACAGATCACTAAATGTTTTATCAATTACTGGGCCTGTGAGAAGAATTTGAGAGCTAAGTATTTGCATACCTAAAGGTCAATTAAGTCTAAAGACAGATAATGGGGAATAATTCAAATTTTAATGTTAAATACTACAGAATCTCAAATACCCAGAAGATACAAATGCAACTTCAAGACATTGCAACACACTCACAGCAGTAAATCTGATACCATGGAAAGGTCATGTAATTTGGGGAAAAAGGTTTGAAATAAAATTTTCAAACTCCTCTCCAGATCATGAAGACAACTGGTGAATAATCCTTAAGTAAACTCACGATTTTCATTTCAATTTACCCACTCCACATTCTAAACTTGATATTCATCCTGGAGTAATAGTACTAGCAATATTTAGCATTTCCATGGATCTCTTTAAAAATAGCTTCCCAGATCTAAGGCACAAATTGGAGCCATCTGATAGCTTCTACTTCCTTTCCACTAAGATCATGAAAAGAAATATTTTATGTTAAAAAAATTATTTTGTATTTCTCTAATATACCTACTTCCATTTACAGCACAAATTCAAAGGAGATAAAAATCTCATTATCAGTTGACAGGGCAAATAAGAGTGTATAAACAAATACTCACTGTAATGTTATTCAAGAGTTTGGCCATATGCTTAATAATTTCACCATGGTGTGCCGGCTGAGTTTGCAGCAGTTTCTTAATGACAACAACACTTTCAGCAACTACAATTTCTGTTTTAGACAAAACAAATTATTAATTTTAAAAGCATTTATGCAAAAGAAAAAGGCATAAATAATTGATTGTAAAAGATGTAAAAGCTTTCCAAATGCGCTTTGCAGAACTGAATTATAATAATTTGGTAAGAAAGAGGTAAACCGTTCTACTACGTAATATAAGTTCAGCTTCCTGAATCACGTTACAACCAGCAAAAAGAGGACACAAACATTCTAAATGTAAAGTTACCAACCTAGTACATACTGTATGAAACTACCTTTTAGTGAGGCTGCAATTCAGGTTTTTCCTACAAAATTGAGGAACCAGTGCAAAAAACTCTGATTTTCATTAAAATGATGCATATTCAAAAGTAATTTGCAGTCTGCAATGAGAATAAAAATGCTTGTATTAAAAGTAACAGCTCATTCATACGCTAGAGAAATATCTAAACACCTCCTTTGCATTTTTTCTAAATGCAAAGAATGTTTCTGCATATAAACAGTTTCTCTCAGGTCTGTAACCTAATCTCTAGTACATTCAAATGAAGCTTCTAAATAGCAAGCTGTTGTAAGATTCATGCCAAAGTCATGCACTGGAGTGCTTAACTACTGCAACAAGTAACATTCACAGCCTGATCAGCTTGTATGAAATGTACAATTTTTGAAGCTAAAAAGACCCCACATGAGCAGAGGCAAGCTTCCATGGAAGAGTAAACTCATGTAAGGAAAGATGAAGAAATCTAACTACCATTTGCTAAACAGAGGTATTCCTCCATTTCTGTCTGATTTAATCTGACACATGGACCATTCATTCAGCAATCAACATGCTCAAGCTTCAATAGAACAGTATGGGGCAGAGATGTCTAAATTTTGTGGGGCTGTGGGCTTTTCTTGTTGTTTTGGGTTTTTTCGAGAAGGCAAACTTCATTATGGAGAAAGGCCTTCCAAGAGCTCTGAGCATATCATTATGTCATTTGCCTCTGAAATGCTTAGATTTTAGCTTGCAGCTTTTTGTGTCATCTTTTATTTGACATGACATCTGTCATTTTTCTAGACTAACTTCTTGAAGCAAGGTTAACATCTCAAGGTCTTGCACAATCCTACAGATCAATTTAATTTACACTGTATTTTGCCAGATATTAAAATAGGAAGCTACTTCTTGAAACTTGAAAATTACAATCTGGAATATTTATAGTGGGGAACATTGGAATGGCAACTTTCGTCATTCAGTATTTTCTGAAACACTGAACAGTTAAGAAAAATAAAACTGAACCCTAAAAAATGAGTGCACATGAAGTTATTATTATAAACACTTGTTGACAATGTAAAACTGACTATGGTAATATCAACTGCAGCAGATGAGACGTCACCATAGGAACTACTGTCATGCTATCTGTGGGAGCAAACTTAAAAGAAAATAAACCAGAATTGTAAACAATTTGTTAATCACAACTGTAAACAATTTTTGACTAATATGGTTATTTTACAAAAGTCTAGATACTGGGAAAAAAATACAAAACAAAATCAAAATGCATTTGTATCAGAATAAGGACTGGCACAGTCATACTCTGTGAGGTTTACTTTGTGCACATAAAGGATACAAAAATGAGCAGAAATAAAAGAGAAACACTTATGTTCAAAACCATAATAAGCTCCAGCAAAACACTAGAAGGGGAGATAAAACTCCCCTTCTGAAGATGCAGTAAGAAAATTTTAAAATGTAACTCCTACTAGAATTATCAAAGAGGAAGTCCATACAATGCAATGAAAAACAGACACAAGAATTTTGAAACACTCTAAATCATATCTAAAGGATTATAAAAAGTAAATTAAATTCTTAAAATAAAGACTGAAAATCACAGAAAATCTGATCAGGAATGCCTTTATCAAGAAAGACTACACAGGGTATCAGCAGTTTAAATTTTCAAGTCATAGTAAAAATCTTAGTTTCTTCTAACAATTTTGAAGTGGAATTGATGTGTATTTTGATGTGGAATTGATTAAATAGAACAATCTCTGAAGACCGTGCAGCCTGACAACTTCTCAAAAACTTAAAATATACTCAAGTCATACACTGTTCCAGTTTGTCAAATAATGATGTACGCAAAAAAATTAACAATGAAGCAGACAGTAAACTGTAGAACTAAATTAAAAACTTCTTCCATAATTGAGAATTTGGCTGCATTATAATAAAACCTTAGAAAATCATCTCAGCATGGAGTATATTACTAGAAAGCATTCAAAAAGTGAATTCGGAAATAAAACATTTGAAATCATAATGTTACATCAAATTTTCTTTCACTTACATTAACCCACATTCACAGCAACTAAAACACACAAGTGAAGACTAATTTATCCACAGTATATAGTTTGTATAACTACTTTTTCTAAAAGCAGGAGAACTGCATCAACTGGTTTTGGATAGTATGCCATTTTGGTTGGTGCTCCTTCCCCAAAAACATTCAAGGTCAGGTTAGATGGAATTCCAAGCCACTTGGTCTGTACAATGTGTCACTGCCCATGGCAGGGAGATTGGACTACATGAAATTTAAAGGTCTCTTCTAACTCAAATAATTCTGTTATTAGGGATACTAACAATGCTATTAAGGTTGAAAACAATCTAAAAGGCAATCACTATAGCTAAATACCCAGACGACCTAATTTTCTGCTCCTCAGAACTAGCCAAAGCTTAAGCTTTTACCTTGCTAACTTTTCCATCCTTATAACATCAATAACAAATCTCAGGAACCCTATTAATAGATACAAACTGGATGCTACAAGTTGCTTTTCTTTAATGGCATTCTAACAGTAATTTGAAGAGATATGTACTAGTTACCAGATGTATTAACAGTTTCAGTAATTTTATGAATTGAGATTTCATATAGATTTGCAGGGCAAAAAATATTTTAGCTATACATTCTACAACCAGGCAACTTTCAACAGAAAATGGAAGTCATCCATCTATGAAAAACCTGCAGGATTTCCAGTACATGCCGCACAGTCAGACAAGAGACTTCCTATAATCCCTATATAATTCCTATAATGTGTCTCTAACATCTAAAATTACTTTTATGGGCCAAACAGTCAGTTGAAACTATCAATGCAATTGTTTAAAGGAAATGAATCAAATGCCAAATGTCACACTAGAGAAAGAAAGCAACTTTTCTTTTTCTCCTTCCTTCAGCAGATGAGGAAGGAAAATAATTCTCAGTCCTCAACATGGCTTCACAAAACCACTTTCTTCAGGAGTCAGTCAAGTTTAGCTTGCGATAATCATTCACTAAGGCAACTCATCACTGAAATTTCTAGAGTCTGTTGCACTTCTGTAGCTCAAATGTTGTCCTTTTTTTTGCCCCACATACCACAGCTTTTCTGAGTAAGGAAAATCTGACTTTAAGTCACTTCTAAGCAACCAAAGAAAATTTCAAGAGCAGTTCTTGATATCCTTGTTTCTGGAACAAGGTCCTGACTCTTATCACCCAAGCTGCAGAATGATTAACTGTAAAGCTCTTGCACCAGATATAACCAAGATATCCTGAGTGTTGGGTGGTATCTACAGTTACAAGCACATGGAATCAGAAGGCACTTTTCCCACAAGCTTGTACCTCAGGATTCTGTTATGGTTTGGTAAAATTAGTATGAGCACCTCTCTTCACACTCAAGTGCAGAATTCTTCATAATAAGAAAATGGTACAGAGAAAGCACAGCTGACTGGTGTCACAAACCTCAGAACCTGCTGCACCTACCAGCTTGTGCTTCATGCTACACAAAGCAGCAGGACTACTTCCAGGCTTCAAATGACCATGAAAGAAGCAGCAGAGCAAAAAGATTGCTTGCGTGCTTTAACAGTAAAAGTTGGGGGAAAGCAAGACTAACCAAGACTCTTAAATCTATTCTCATCCACTATGCTAAAGCTCTTTTTTATTCCATTACCATGCCAAAACTCTTACATTCAGTAAGCTGTGACTATCAGTTATTTCCTGCCACCTGGGGAAAGGTACCATGTAAATTATGCCACTCTATTCATTCCTTGAAAGAAGGAATAAAGACACTGCAGTTATGGTAAAGCAATTTGCCAGCTGCCAGGTTTAAAAGATCCTCAATATACCCTTTGCAGTCTTTCAGAACAGTAAGCACAAGAAGATAATTTTATTTGCAAGACAACTACTTAGAAACAGACATGAAAACTAATCTTGTTGAGACAGACTTTTGTATACACACACATGCATATATGTGTGTATGTAAATATATATATATACATGTTGAATCACACTGAAGAAAATATTAAACTGACAATCTATGATAAAAGGAAAAAACTTCTTCCTCTTATCTCTGTTCCTTCTTAGCAGAACAAAAATAATGCAAGAAAACAGATTGTTAAGTAACAAAATCTGTACTCTGAAGTGACAGTTTTATTACTTAGTTTAAAACAGAAGAAACATGGAGATTGTACATGCTGAAGGAAGCCTACTCAGAGGAAGGTTGCTAGAAGAATCAGGTAAAACCAAGAACAACCTTTGAAGCTTGTATTTTTACTCTGGTTGTTGCTCAATATAATACAAGAAGGTGCATTGTGCAGACATGGCTTTGTAACACAATATGGGAAGATATTTTAAATGCAGCTGATAATCAGAAAGGCTTAAACAAAAATAAGATCTGCAGCACTAAGAAATCACTAAGAAAGCTACACATATTAAAAATACAAAGCTATACACTGAGGCCACCTAAGAATTTCCGATTTAAGATGAGGCGGTTGAGAATGACAACTCAGTTCATAAAACAAGTAAGAGAAAGCTCTATGTGCTGCCAAAATGATGTCCTGAATAAAGGCCTTCTCATGATTACCATGAAACCTATGTCCAGGAGATATACAGAGGCATTAATGCTGCTTTTCAAAGCCAAGAGCAGTATCAGCCAAGTTCTTTGAACTATTTGAACTACTTCAGGACACTCCACAATTATGCTTTTGCTCCTTCCTGACATTATTTATTAACACACATTACTGAATTCTTATAAAATAAGACTGACATATTCATTGGTAACTAATGAGAAAATACACTATTATTAGGTATTGACTTACTGTGCTGCTACACCCTCTTTGACTTTATCTGCTCCTTATTGTGTTCCCTAATGCTTTGAAATTTTGTTTCGCTATCCAAAAATAACAGAATGCTAGAGTACAAAAGGAAGCCAAATTTGGGGCCATTTATCCTAAAACTCTTTAGTATGTGTTTTCATTTAGGCATTGATGCACTACAAAAAAAAAACTCCAAGCTTTCAGCACCCTCTACAGGCTAACTGCTTTGATGCAACTTAGCTTGTAACTAACTATTGCTACCTATGATAATCAAAACAGTACACTTTAATAAACACAGCATTTTAAGAAAAAGTAGGCAAACATGTAATTGAGGGCCATGATGAATTAATTTCTTTATCAGAAGAGAAAATAACTACCCAGTGAATACCAGAGCCCTTGGAAGCGCAGGATTTTTATCCAGTTGTCAGCCAAATTCTTATAGAAGTCAAATCTCACTTCCTAATGTGATCTGAAACTTTGCGTGGTTCTCTCTAGGAAAATGTTTCATGCTATCAGCTATGCAGAAAATGAAGAGGACTTTAGCTTACCATCCCTGTTGGAGAGCAAACAGACGAGGCCGTTGAGGCACGTGTCAGTCACTTCGGTGATGTTAGTAGCGCATCTGCCTATTGCCTGAATTGTAGCTGCAGCAAACTGCTTGTCTTGGCTCTTCACGTAAGTCTAAAGAAACGGGATTTTTGCTAGTCAGTATATAACTCTTGACAAACAAAGATGTACCATATTATTCTCAAGAGGGAAACATACTGTATAATAAATTAAACTTAGAAAGCTATAATGCACATTAGAAGCTATAATTTTTCACCTCCTTGTCACTTGTAGAAGACATTTCTTGCACGCTTTGGTCACCCATGGCCATGAAACCCTCTGATTTCAAGAAAGCTTGGGGCAGGGGGCAGTTACCAAAAAACAGCCATTTGTTTATGTGCAAGGTTGGAGTTGATGAGCTCTATCTTCAGAGAGGTTTCAGTTTATTTAACTAGAAGCATCTGCGAAACTATGAAAACCCTACCTGCCTGAGAACCAGTACCTTCCACAGAAATCCAGCCAGAGAATTGAAGCAACGCAAATAGATGTCACAAGCAAAGAGGAAAGAAAGGACAGACACTGTTTTTCAATATAGGCAGAAGATCTTGGTGATACGTAAAGATATTGGAGACAATAAACACAATTTCATCAAATGATTGATGGAAGTAAGGTTTGGCAACAAATACTAATGGCCAAATACTGCTAAAACTAGGACCCTGTCATACAGTGACTTATAGTGTAAGTCAAGTTGCTGGAATTTGTGTTTAAGTATATGGAATGATTGAGTTTTTCTCATCATTTTTTTTCTTTTCTTTTTTGGTAGCTGGAATGAGAGAGAAACAAAATATTTGGATTCCTTTCCATATACAAATAGCTCCTTTAGCCATTATGGTATGAGATGCTTTAATTTCCATATTTGGAACATTTCATCCTCGAAAATACTTAAACTTGAAAAATTTAAGCCTAGGAGAAACATCTGACAATGGAAAAAGAGATCATAAATATAAAAGGAATACACTTTTGCACAAACCTGAAATTCTCGAAGCAGAGTTGATATGTTGGCTTCATTTGCTAAATTTGTCATGATTTCAAGCTAAAAGAAAAAAAAAGCCAGACGTATTGTCAAAAGTTAAAACTAAAATATTATAAACAGTACCACATGTACACTATACTTTTATTGTATATAAAATACATATTAAAAATACTATTCAGAATTCAATAGAGTATACCAGATATCAGTACTAACTGGTACTACCATTGCACTCAGGAGGCATATTTTCCTTGCAAGCACTTACAAAGTTTACAAATCAGGACTGAGGTTCGGTGACACATTTTTCATGAGCCTGAGCTTTAGTGTTTCATTGCATATCAAATGGGCTTGAATTACTTCTGGTCAGCTTTTCCACACAACAGGCCTTAACATATAGGAACCACACAACAGTAAAAGAAGAAATAACAAAAGTCACAACTGCATCAGGGGAGAAATAAATTGGCCATTATATTCAGATAAACTGTAATAAAAGAGCTTTAAACTTAGGAATGAAACATTTACATCTGTGAGATTCCTCAGATCTTATTCAACACCAACATCATACCTGGAAGCCCTTCTCTTTATATATAATATAAGAGGATTATATACAACACTTGGCATATATTTTAAAGATGCTATGCTTCCAGGCTGTTTCAACTTTGAATGAAGTAAGCTGAAAACACAGCCCTCCAATGGGAAGCCATGCCTCGGAAATATGTTGGTATTTTTTGACTTGGAGGCATCCAGAAAAGGATACTCAAATGATATAGTCCACCTCTACTTCAAAACAATTTCTTAAGGCACATCACAAAAGGCTCGGAAAGATATGCATCTTGAATAGCATAGAAAGCAAGAGGATAAATGAAAAAGAAAAATATGCAAGAGAAAAGGAGATTATTTTATAGCATAGGGTGGCTATCAATGGAACATCACAAATATATTCACTGGCCTTTTTCACATATGAACTGTGAAAGTAAGAAGACAGGCAACAAAATTTTCAACTGATGCTACAGTTTCCAGGGATATGAAGACAAAGGCTGACTAAGAAAATCTGTGTAAGAGTTCCAAATAATAGAAGACTGATTAATAAAAGAGAAAAAAAACCCAGCACAGATCTGCAAAGTAATGCTTGTAATAGGGAAAAAACCTTAACTGTTTAGAAAACTACAGACTCTGAGATGATGACAATTAATTATAACTGAGAATTTGTGATTAAAATAGGTTACTGTGAAAGCTCAATGCTAATCAGTGATCAAAAAAGTAAACTTGATGTTGGAAAATTTAAAAAAACAGTTAATCCATACAGCACAGGAGATAATTCAAGGGCGCTCCTACATATTAATTACAACCATGAATCTCACCATTCTATTTTGAAATAGGTAGGCTTGAACTACAGAAGTAGAAGAGGGAGAAAACGACAAGACTTTTTTATGTATGTAAAAGTTTAGGGACTTCTAAAATTTTTAGCTATCATGAAACAAATGAAACAATGAAAGGACAAACCACAATTTCTACTTCTCCACCTCTTCTCCAATATATTATCAATTAATATGGGAATTTAAATTCATCAGCTTTCTGTTATTTTTGGACTGATTATTCTTGGATAACAGTAAGGCACTCCTCACAATATTCCCAAAATCTAGAGAATATCTTTTTACTTCCAACTGCCTCAAATTTACTTCAGTCTTGTTGTTGGTATAAAATACAAAAAATATTTATTTTGTATCTAAACATGATAGTTTTGGCATAGCCATCTTGTACTATACCACTCTTGAACATGTAAGTGCAATATGCATGTAAAATGCAGATAAGGAAAAGAAAATATTGTTTCTTTTAGAAAACTACCTTCCACTCCTAAACATAAGTGCCTATGACAATCTAAAGCAAAACAAGAGAAAAGGCACATAATAGTAGACCCTTTTTTAGCCATTGTTTTGTCAAGGATTTCACATTTGTTAAAGCATGACTATAGAGAAAACAACAAGGCAACAGCTGGAAACATGCATTGAGATGTGGCCTTGAGGAAAGCCTAAAGTACTTCTCCTGTCAAATGCTGACTTCAAAGAAAATTTGGGACTCAAGCACTGCCCCATTTTGTACAGAGGAAGAGATTTAACCTCTTTTTAAGCTAACAGTATTAAAGACTCTTTTCCTCCCATGAAATAGTCAAACTCTCAATGTTAGAATACCTGGTTGAAAAAAAAAAATATAATGCCTTCTATCACTGAAAGGTCCTAAAAGCTCTAGGGGAAAATATAGCCACTCTTCCACCTGCAACACAGTAACAGGAACTTTCAGATAGCCTGACAAGCCTGAAGGCCCCTTGTGACTCAACTAATGACCTCTACACTTCTGAGTGAGATAAAGAAACAGCACAGATAGACTGGGTAATATCAGTGAAAAACATTCTACCTTTCTGTTGCAAAGTGATTAGTCCAGTAGTATATAGAAAAATTTGCCTTTAATAAACTCACCTTGAGTGTTTTGATCATAGTTGGATCAGTTGATCTAACATAGAAACTCTTCAGATAAGGTTCAAACATGCCCTGAAAATCAGAATATATTTAAGTAACTCTCCTGTGTTTCATTTACAATGTGATTAAAAAAATTCTAAATAGGGTATACCTTTCTCTGAATTGACATAGTGGCAATATTTTGCAGGACAATATACTGCACCTCTCTAGAACGTGAAAAGAAAAATAAGAGTCATTCCACAAAATTACTGATACACAGAATAATTCAATACAGCAAAGAAAATTCAATTCTATTTGAACATCAAGTTAGTTATCCATTTGTTTTGGCACGCAGAAGGCAAAGCTTATTGCCAACTGCCAGCTTCATAATTTGATTCACAGAAGAGAGATACCTGATGAAACCAGGCTCTCAATTTTTAAAACTCCAATACGCAAAAAATACTCACTGACACCAGTGCAATGGTACCTTTTGTAGGCTGAGGCAATTTATTCAAATCAGAATTACATTTATCATTTTAATATAATGGAAATAGCTTACAAAAGCCTTACATTTCATCTACCTTCTGGAAAGAAATATTTCAGGATGATACAGCTGAGAATAAAAACACACAAGCTTCATCTGCAGAGTTGAAATAACTGCATTAATTACAAGAACAGTTAATCCCTGCACAATTAGCAAGAAATGCTATGACACTTTACTCTTAAGAATTTTTATGAAAATTCTCAAAATGCGCCAGGATCTTCTGTGCCAGTAAACATTGGCAGATATATACATCTATAAAAAACTAATACTTTTACATAATAGACTTTGCAAGAGATAGACAATAATATAATACAAAAACATTAAACATGTTTGGAGAGGGCATTCTAATCATTAATGTATGAGTTTAAAAGCCTCGAGATGACTGAGCAAAGAGAAATCTAGATACTAGTTCTGAAGCTTTTAAAGTGCAGATTTGGTGTCACCAATTGCTTAAAAACTAAGCAATAACTTACACACAATTTTTCTGAACCATAAGTGCTCAAATCTTTGCATGCTGCAAATCTCATTCTAATGAGAAATCATAATACCTATTATCTCCTCTTACTGAAAACTGTATAATAGCCCTAAGATACTTACAGCTGTTGCTTACAAAGAAAAGTGATAATAGAGAAGTACTTAAGATCTTTTAAACCAATTTTATGCAATTCTTACATAGGTGCATGGCAATAGTCAGCCACACATGATGAAACAAGACTGGAAATTGCTATGAGATGCACTTTCAGGCACTCTCACCCTAACTAGATTATAGCTTAGTTGACATTAATTTGAAGGCCACAGGCAAATAACTTCAAGGGCAAACAGCAAAAGCTTATTTCAAAGTGGCTCCAAAAGCAAAATGTTTCACCCAGAATGGTAACAGAAAACAGAAGAGCCATTCAAGACAGAAAAATGAGAAGACTAGTGTTATTTAAGGTACTAGCTGAGATACAGGAAAGAAGGGACTTTTCTTTTAATGAAACCTGAGTATAAACAAGCAATAAATCACATACAAGTGATCCTTTCAACCTGTGATTACGAGTTTATACATCATCTGCTAATTGCTTTAGGCACTTTACTCATCTTTGCATAAAGAGAATGGGAAGCATACTGTACTATAAAGCCAAACACAAAACCAATAGGGATTTATCTGAAATAAAAGACTGAATAGTCTACACAGTCCCATTTTACTTCTTTGCCAACTTTTAAAAAATAGATATTGAGCTGTGGAACTTTTACAGAGACACAGCTCTTTGATGGCAAAGCTGACAAAAGTTAAGGTATATCTAGAATGAGCAATCTTGCCAGACACACAAAACTGAGTTTTTTTTAAAAAAACCTTTGTGTCTGTTTGACAAAAATTATTTAAAAAGTAAATTATTCTCACAGCAAAGTTCCAGACAAAAATACCATTTTTAGTCAAAAAGTTATTCTGAAAACAATTATATTGTCTCATGTAAACCCTTTAAGGCTTTTCATACAAATACATGGAAGTTCAAAATCTAAAAACTGAATAGGGAACGAAAAAAGTGTGCAGAAAATATTAGCACACTACACAAAAACTATGAAATACAAAAAACAGCACCAATACTCTTATGAAATGGAGCTAACAAGACCTTTCATGGAAAAATGGACAAAATACTATTGAAGATGACTAAGTCAAAACAGAATGTTCTTAATTAAACATAAACTTGTTCTTTAAAAACCGTCCAAGGATTAGGGAAACAGAAGATACAGCAGTATCAAGTGGCAATATTAATTTTAACACATATGTTGCCTCCTTCCCCTGAGACACCCAAAAGCTGATTGGACACAGTCCTGAGTACTATGCTTCAGGAGACTCTCCATGAGTAGGAAGTTGGACTGGACACAGTGATCCCTTCTAAACTTACTCATTTTGAGATTTGTGTTACAGTGTTACAGTGCAGGAAAATAAAATATTCATCAGAAGACTTCTTTAGTGCTTAGCAAGACAGTGCTTAGCAAGACAGTAAGGAACTCAACAGAACTAAATTTACAATATTTTAAACAACATCAAGACTACAACTACAAACCAGTTAGTACTGACTCCATTTAAATACTAACTAGGCAGTCATGTTCTTGATAGAACAAAAATCATATGAATGAAACACAATAACCAATGATCCCTGGACAGGATACCAAAAATGAGGGAATGACTTTTAGTGATCCTCATTTGCTGAGTGAAAGTGAGTATTACAGAACAATTTCAAAATCAAATTAATTTTGTAATAGTTACATTCTTATAGCTATGGCTAGTTATAAGCCATAACTATAGTCATGGCTAATTATAAGCCAAACAAATATGCTCAAAAAAGTACACATAGTGATGTGAAGTATGGACTTTACCCACCTGTTACTACGGAGTAAACGCACCAGTGACTTAGAAACAATACCAGCTTCAGATTTTGGTGCCAAATGCCAGTAAAGCTGTGCAACTGCCATTACCACCTAAAGGAAGAACATTCAGAGCAGCATGTCAACTTCAAATCATCGTTCATATCTACCACATTTTCTTCAGACCTGCAGGACTACCAGGTCACTCTCCTTCAGAAAGAAAAGTGCACACCTGTGGTCTTTGAAATCAGCAAAGTAGACTGAGGAAGAAAACACTGGAATAAATAGAATTTTACAAATTAAGTACCTTTACTTACTCCCAGTATTTACTGTATGCTATAATACATAGAAGGTCATAGAAATAGGGACAAAAAGAAAAAGCATTAGGTAATTTAAATCACAAACATAGTCATACCATCCTTGATAAATCACTATTGCTAACATCAGGTGTACAAAGTAATGAAGAAATATTCTTTACTAGTTTTTTTAATGTTCTTTTCCTTTATTACTACAAGTTCAGTGTCACCTTTTATCTAGTTTCCACTCAAAACCTTTCATTCTATTATTCTATTATGCAATTTATAAAACAACAGCTGTCTTTACTGGAAAATTTTGAAGTATCAAATCCAACAGAAAGTAAAAGCTAAAGGGGTGTATACCAATATCCAGGGTAACAAAATTCACAAGACTGAGACATAAGCAACTTAAAACCCATTTTTTTCTTCTCAGATTTTCTCATAAATAAAAAACAAAATATGATCTTTATGGTAGTGATTGTCATGTCATAAACTTTCCTACACCAGTGTCATGATCAACTCTCTGTTTCAAATAAAACAAATCACAGAGACTCCAAGTAAAGCCCTCATAGTAACACTTCACTTCATATCTTAAATCCTAGAACCAATGAAAGGAAAATTATTATTCAACAATAAAAAGCAATTAAAAACATCTAAAGCCAGGAAATAACTTTAAGATTTTTTAACAATATACCACAAGTATCTTTTACTGGTGACAAAAAACATATGGAAAGCCACTAATTAAACTAATTGTAGGTAAATTCTGTGAACAGTATGAATAACCCTGTAACAGCAATTCAAAGTAGCATAATTTTGATAGCACCTTCCAAAATTATGCCCTTTAACATCTCAATTAACTTTATATCAGAAAGTTAAAGATCATAAGTGTGAGAATCAATATTCTCACAGTCATATTTAATCAAGAAAATTATTTATGGAATGAGGGTAATAACTAACTGAACCTCTTAGTGAAGTGGGACAGGAAACATATCAAACATACTTGTTCTTTACATGAAATTAAGAAATATCACAGACATTGAACAGTGATTTTTGCAAAAAGTTGTAAAAATTTAATCAACTTGTTTCCAAAGTCTGCTGGGTTGGCAGACCATAAATGATTCTGAGAAGAGTCACACTCATGAGTTAGAATCTCAAAGTATGTTTCAAAGGACAACTATAATCTCCTCTATTTAGCTTATTAAGATTAGGTAGCAAGGTGACTTAATCATGGTGGACTAACTGTTTTTGCAGTGATATGAATATTCATTATCATTGGAAGACTTCTCTCAAAAGACATCTAGTCCTAATTAACACGACAATCTCAGGTTAGAAAGTTAATATTCTGTGATCTGATTAACATCACAATGATTCAGCATTTTTGTCATTCTAAAAAGTTACCTGTATTTTAAAATCTGATGGGAATAATCTAGCATACCATACTTATAATGTCGTATCTATCCTGGAACCCTGCCGGGGCAAAAGCCCTAGAAATGTGGTGTATAGTTGTCTACTTTTAAAATGTGAGACTCAAAAGAAAGAACAAATCAATGAATCAATAACAAGTATGACTTTCTTTGTAGATCTGTTCCATAAAACTGTACCAATAAACTGCACCAGTTTGTGCCACCCTAACTGTTGAGAGTTTTAGCATCAAGAGCTAGCATCAACTCTGGTAGAGTCATCACATGCTATGTAAGTTGGATTCAAATGCTCTCATACTTTTTCTAGTATTTTGTTTGTCGGTGTTATTTGCAGCACGCACTACAATCAGTTTAGGTGTAACACTTACAACCTAAATTAAATTCAAAATAGATCCATCACACTTCTCCTAGAGTTACTAAAAGGTATTTTCACCAGCTTTACAGAGGTGTAGATTTTACTCTTCAATCTTTTAAATTTTTTAAAAATTATATCATTTGTGATTTAACATTTTAATCAAAAAAGAATTTGTCATACAGCAGCATTTCGGCTCTGAAGCAGGGGCTTTGTATTTCGTAACAGCAGTCTGTGATCTGGATCCATAGTATAGGTGGTTTTAAGTTTCTGTTCCTTCTCTTTCTGTTCTTCATCAGATTCATAGAAATTATTTTCACTGTATTCATCCACCACTTCATCAACCTATCAAAAGACAAAAAGACACGGACATACATAGAATATTTGAATCAACAGGTTTTATTCATTAAGGAAGTAACGTACAGCACCACAGTTTCATGCAACATTTATGTATGGTTTTTAAAAATAGCTTTTGGCTTTTCTACCCATTTGCTCTAAACAGTACATGCACTGACATGAGAACCTCATTAAAAATATAAGCAAAATTTCCTTAAAAATAAGTTGTACTGACATATGAAATATCTTTACTATTATTCAACAAACTATTTCAGGTATTTTTTGGACTTAGAGCCTATGATCTAAAATTGGAATTTCTAGAAAATAACTTGAAATTAAAATAACATATAGGTCTTCAGAAAACTTGGAAAGGCTGCATGCCTAGGTCAAAATTCAGGAGTAGTGAAAGAATCCATAAAAATGTCTTTAGTAGAGGTAGGAGGATGGCGGGACGGAGGAAAGAAGTAACAATGAATTAAAACCATCATTTTATTCTGGTTTTTATTACAATTTGGACGGACACTGAAATTTTTTTAAGAAGAAGTAATATGAAGAGAAGTTTCATTACTTTATGCCAATTTTGCTCTCAGTTTTTTACAGGATGCCTAGCAAACTCGGATATTTTATGCAATAGCAACTGAAGTACTTTAATTTCCTTACTTCTCTTCCCACAATTCTTTGTGGCAGTCACATTCTAAACTATAAACTCAGGATGCTATATAAAGTCCTGTGGTAACTGAATTCCTCCCCTGCCTGCAGGACAGGCAATGTGAAAGGAAACTTCCCGATCCCAGTGCACCACAACCTGCACTGAAGAAGCTTCCTCTAACAGGAGGTGGATAATTCAATCTGCATTGATTCAGTCTTCAATATCCTCACCTTGACTGCTAACAGGCATGTAGATCAGTACTATTGAATTCAACAGAATATTGAGTTTGAAAAAGTATTTAACTCATTAATAACTGTTACAAAGAAACAGCTTGAGCTCTCAAATTTCTGACTTCCTTTTTTTTAAAGAATTATTTGTTTGGAACATACTTGGAGCAGCAGAGTTCCAATAAAAAGCAGCATATGCCTATTATGAAAACACTTTTATTTTAAATCTGATTAAGGTCCTTCTTCATACCACAAAAGCAGAAGTATTTACATGATCTTTACTAATCATGTATTTTATTGTAATTTAAAAATATTACTCTTTTCTCAGATCTGCTAAGATCTGGTAGGAAATAATAATGTTCCAGACCAAGGATGATGACAATACCCAGGAAAATTATTTTAATGAACTGAAATTCATCAAAATCAAGTTGATGAACTCCTAATTATTTAGAATCTGTAGTCAAAAGGACCCACTAAGACAAACAGGACATGTAATAGTGCATGATTTTGCTTTCCTATCCACATTGTGATGGATAGAAAAGCAAAGTATTATGCAAAAGAGTCAGAAGACTAGGCTAAAAACCTGCAACTCCTTGGTGTACAAGAATTGTTATTTCAAATTCTATTAATCATCCCACACATGGAGAAAAGTTACCAGACAATGTGACAACACTCAATCACAAAAAACCCCTTAAAGTCTCACGCTGACCTACTGACTATATTTAATGCCAAAATGATACAAGTGTAAGTTCAGAATCATAGTATTATTTGGGTTGGAAAAGGCCTTCCAGCTCATATAGTCCAATTGTTAACCCAACACTGCCAAGTTCATCACTAAATCATGTCCTGAAGTGCCATGTCTGCAAGTCCTTTATATATCTTTAGGGTTGCTGACTCTACCCCTTCCCCAGGCAGCCCATTCCAGGGCTTGACAACTCTCACTGACAAAATCCTTTCCAATATCCAATCTAAATCACCCCTGGTACAATTTGAGGCCATATCCTCTTGTCATGTTGTTTTACCCTGACCCAGCTACAACCTCCTTTCAGGTTATTGCAAAGAGTGATAAGGTCCCCACTAAGCCTCCTTTTCTTCCAGTCACTCCTCATAGGAGTCATGCTCCAGACTCTTCACCAGCTCCATTGCCCTTCTCTGGAATTGTTCCAAGATTTCAATGTCTTTTCTATCATGAGGGGCTCAGAGCTGGACACAGCATTCCAGCTGTGGCCTCACCAGTGCCCAGCACAGGGGGACAATCCCTGCCCTGGCCCTGCTGGCCACAGCATTGCTGATCCAGGCCAGGATGCCATTGGCCTTCTTGGCCCCCTGGGCACAGCCTGGCTCATGTTCAGCTGCTGTCACCAGCACCCCCAGCTCCTTTCCAGCCACTCTGCCCCAGCCTGTGGCACTGCCTGGGGTTGTTGTAACCCAAGGGCAGGACCCAGCACTGGGCCTTGTTGAACCTCACACCATTGGCCTCAGCCATGATCCAGCCTGCCCAGATCCCTCTGCAGAGCCTTCCTGCCCACCTGCAGATCAGCACTCCCACCCAGCTTGGTGTTACCTGCAAACTGATTGAGGGCGCACTCAATGCCCTTCATTATGAGTCATCAATGAGGGCATTAAACAAGATTGGCCCCAGTAATGAGCCCCATGGAATAGCATAGGTGACCAGCCACCAGCTGGATATAACTCCAGACATCACCACTCTTCTCTGAGTGGCCATCCAGCAGCTCTTTTAACCAGCAAAGCATACATGCATCCAAGCCACGGGCTGCCAGTTTCTCCAGGACAATGCAGTGGAAATATTTTCAAAGGCTTTACTAAAGTCCAGTTTGACAACATTCACAGCCCTTCCCTCATCTACTAAGTGAGCTACCCTAGGAGCTTAAGTTTCTCAAGCAGGACCTGCCTTTTACAAACGCACGCCGGCTAGGCCTGATCCTCAGGTTGTCCCACATGTGCCATGTAACAGCACTCAGGATGACCTGCTCCATCCATATCCTTGCTCACCACTGAGGTCAAGCTGACAAGCCTGACTTCCCCAGATCCTCCCTTGAACCCTCTGTGTAGATGAGTGTCATTTTTGCCAACTCCAATGAACTGGGATCTTCATGGTTAACCAGGGCTGTTGCTAAATGATGGAATGTGGCTCAGGCTCCGGCTTCTTCAGTACCCATGGATGGATGCTATGTAACCCACAGACTTTTTTGTGTGTAAGTGGTGTAGCACACTATTTCCCATTGGATCATGGGGGCTTCATTCTCCTCCTGATCCTCTCTGTCTTACAGATCAGGGGCTGGGTACCTCAAGAACAATTGGTTTTACAATTATTGCCCTCTTCACTACAGAAAAGGCACCTGTGTTTTCCTTATCCTTAATACTTATTTCCCCCTGCAGTTTTCCTGGAGCACCTTCTTACTTCTCTGACAATGAAAGGCTCTGTCATTTTGTCATCACAGTGGCCCAGAGAGCCTCCAGTCATCATAACCCATCACCCACCAGTCCTTCTCTGCTCACAAACAACAGTTCCAGTAGGGTGCCCTACCTTGTTGACATCCTGACCAGTTGTGTCAGCGCATTATCTTCCAGGAACCTCCTGGACTGGTTCCTCTCCACTGTATTGTATTTTCAGCAGGCATCTGGTAAATTGATAATGAAGACTATCGGCTGTGAGACATCTCTCACCTGCTCACAGACTATTTTATCTGCCTCTTCAACATTTCTTTCATCTTCCTCTTCCAACTAGCTCAGAAGTCTGCATTTACCTGAGCAAGTCTGTTTAGACATGCACTAGGTTATACTTATAATTTCTGCTATCACTGCATAGCTTATTTCTAAATAGAACACAATTCTAGGATTCTCTTCACTCATTCTAAGCCTAGGCAGAAAATCTGAAACTAAACTCAGACACAATAAATTACTGCCAAAATTTCAGGCCACCAAGCTGAAACCTCATCTTAAGACATCTAGCTGAATTGTTGCTCTGTCCCCAGACAAACCTTGCAGTACAAGTACTGAAGCCTGTACTACAGAAAGAGATTGGGACAAGCAGTAACTCTTTTATGAAGTGGCACAGAACCAGTTGCTGGAGGGCAAGCACAAGCAAAGCCTCTTGGTTCTAACAAAAAGGGAAAGCTTTGCACAGTGATCTTAGAAAGCACCTCATGCTCAACAATAGTGCTATGGTGTTCTGGAGAAGAAAAGCGACCTCAGTGGCATTACACTGATACTAGGCCTTCATCTTGAATCTCAATCAGAAAAAGCAGGCATGGGTAGAGTATAATGGAGATATAAATACTATTAATGTTAATATTTTTTCCTGTCAGCAGAGGACTGAAAGTAAGACTCTTACACTGGAAGATGAAAGTCTGTTTTAACTTTTTAACTAAGTAATTAACTATTGAATCAACAACTGACAGATGATTTCCTATGCACTTATTCTGTAATCTTCACTGTCTATAGTGCACTACACTAGACTGAGTAATATGCTTCTTCACACATCCCTGAAGAAATGCTAAATATGGGCAACACACAAATTTTACTTTCACAGATGTCTAATTAGAACTCAGACTGATGCTAACCAGTATATATCAGCACCTTTATCAGAAATAAAACCAATCCTGTAACCCTTTTTGACAATAGAGAGATAGCATGAGCGTTCTGGAAGTAGATTCAAATGTTCCAATGCTTTCTGTTGTCATTTCAATCCCTTTAGATGCAGTTTCACAGCTGATTTAAAACTAATCAGTCCAACGTAAGTTTATTGTTTTGTTTGCTTTTTGAAAGGATGTTTTATTTTCACCAAGAGCAGTAAAATGATCTGTCTAACTCTGTGGTCATAGGATCACTAGAACTACTGGATTTTCAAAAGCACTAGGTGGCAAAGGAAGAACAGAAGAGTGGCAGTTTTTAGTTAAACTCCATTAAATACACTTAACTGTTTGTAGTAGCACATAATTTAATTGTGCAGTTAATAGCTTTTCTAAATTGCAAAATGACTAAAAAGTTCAGAACCCTGGGAGAATAAAATGATTAAAAACTGAGACCACAGTATTCCAGACTAGAATTTGCAAGTAGACTCTGTGCATTCCCCATCTATTATGATTTATTCACAGCAGAGAAGTGAGTAT